AGTATATTTTTGTTGCCATTGTCAGGAGAGTTAGAAATGGTGATGTCATGATCTAAAATTCTGTTCGTTCTAAAAGCGGATCGTGGTGATTGTGTGGTGATCATGTAAAAAGATTACTCAATAAGGTTCTACTAACACTCCTTGTGGGTGATTACTTTTAGAGCGTTTTGTGGTGTGGGACTTACATGTATCTTGTCTGTTTTTCTAAGGCATTTTCACGGTACCAGATGCAACAAATAACATCAGAATTTATGGACACATTTGGCCTTGATGAAGAAGAGCTTAAGGACCCAGATGACTCAATTAGGTAAGACACAACTGACAAAGTTGAAAAACATTACAATAAAAAGATCACGCTAAGTTATTTTCATCTAGAAAATAACAATATTTTGGAGTAAATTTGATTGATTTTGATAAGTTAAAAACCCCCACCTTGATAAGCTTTGATTTTAACAGGTAATAGTAATCTGTGACAGTGATAATCAACAGTGTCAAGGTTTAAAGGATTATTGACCTTATTTCTTTCTGTTGCAGTGGCCCTTTGACAGGTGGGGGATATCAGTTTTTCAATAAATACTCATGAAGATAATGTGAGTCTGGATTGTGGAAAAACCTTTTACTTACAGTCAATAATTTATAGTACAAATTGATCCGGGACTTCTTTATTGAGCTTAAAATGCAAGGTGCAGCCCAGTGTTGTAGACGTGTTGAAGCACAAATGGTGATTCAATTGAATGACTTCAAAATCTTCTACTGTAGTTGTATTGATTCTGGTGGTGATATTTAGATTTTGGGATATTATAGTCAATATAATAAAACAAGACCCTCAATGAGTATTTTTCTTTGTATTTTTTTTTATGGAGTATTACTTAGTTTTTACAAAGAAATATTAGAGAAGTATTGAGAAGAAGTGTTGTTAAGCCTCTGAAAACTGATCTAGAAGCAATAAACAGCTCTTTACATGTATGTGAAGGCACGTAAAATGCAGCCTTTGTTTTTTCAACACTGCAGCCTAACACTGCCCTTTTTGAAGCTTGCTGTAATGAAAAAATTCAACAGTTTGATGATAGTGGGAGTGATGAAGAGGTAAGTGTGTGCTTGGACTCTCCTATCATTTTAATACTAAAAAAATACAATCGAGGGGCAAGCTGGGGTTGTGGGTACTTATGGGGGTCAAACATTTACATTTATTTACATTGTGAAGGCAAGCCCTCCCCTCTGAGCAAATCATGCTCTGACAAAAAGAACTAGCACTCAAACCATCCATTTCTCGGATCATTATAAAATTATGTTTTGGGAAACTGCCCACCTGTCCCTCCTAAGCTAACGTTTTGCCCTAAGTGAGAAGTAAGTGTTAATGTTGGCTTAAGGAGGGGTAGGTGGGCAGTTTCAGAAACGTATAACGATTCTCTATCTCCTAGTTGGCCCTTCTACTTTATCTACTCAGTTGGCAAAATTAAGTCTTTGTATTTCACTTCCCACTAATGCAACAGCTGAGTTTCTTGAGGAAGTAGCCCTTAATGGCTCATGTTCGATATATTAAAATTCAAGCATGACTCAAGGCTTTAGGGTCCATTGTCTCACAATTCCCAAAAAGAGACTTGAGCACAAAGAAAACCAAACCAAATGTAGAAAATGACCAGAAAGCCTCAGAGTCAGAATTTTGATAATATCGAATGTGGGCTATTCAATAGTAAGGTAGTATACAAGTAAGTTACATACAAAATTAGGAGCTGTCGATAAGTGTGTCGTCAACACAAAATTTCAGTTTAATGCAATTAAAAGGTACTATTCATTTAGGTACATTTATGTCTATGATATGCTCATATTTTTGATTTGTCTCAAGATGTATAGTCAAGAGACAAAGGATAATCAATAGCAATCAATAAGATTTTTGTTTGGTCTGTAGGATATGTGGGAAGAAAAGGAGCTCACTTTTTTCATCCATTGTTGAATCAAGACAAAGGTTGGTGACTAAATGCATAGGTGGTCATTTACTGAGGTGATCGTAAGGCAGAGTGCCACCTTATTATTGTCATTGTCAATATGAAATTGCTGATTTCATCATTGCTGTGCAGGCCTTCCACTTATTCTTTGTGACATTTTTATTAGTTTCTTGCTGGTCGTTTGACACCTTAATGTTGTTTGGTGTCAATTTGCAGTACCCTGTCCCCTGAAGCCGGAAGTGACAGTGAAAGCAGTGACAGTGACGATGATTTAGAGTCACCTGGACATAAAGTTCCCAGTGTTGGATTTGAAGGCAGCAGCCCACAGGGATCACCAGTTAAACAAGCACCTGCCTCTACCGCTGCTTCAGATAGCAAAATGGAAGTTGATCCCTCTGATGGTGTGTTATGAAAACGTTTATGTTACCATCACACACTCCCAAATGGCCCAAATCATTCAACATAAATCATATTCTTTTTTATTCTTTACTACAGTTCGATTAAAGTTCCCCTCCAGATTACACACAATGCCTAACTCATCCTTAGCAGCCACCATATTTCTCAGCCTGTGAATACAGCCACCTATTATCACTTCTTGTCTTTAGGGATGTTGTGTGAGGGAGATGTCAGCGTTTTGGTCTCAAAAACCCATACTGATGATGTAAAACTTTCCAGAATCTGGTCAGGAGCTCTGATTGGTCGACTAAGTAGTCTTATACTCTTTCATCTATTGTTTAGAAGTGACAGACCAAAGGCAAAAGGCCACAAACATCAATTGTTCAAGGCTCCAAATTAATCAAAAATACTCATTTCCTATAGTGTGTCGCTTGGCACTTGGTTTACCCTATTCTCTGTGGAATTTTCTCCACATGTTTTACCATTATTATCCTTTCCAGCATGGTCAATGGCATTTGGACCAGGTGAAGTAGCCGTTGATGAAGCAGTTTCCATGGATGCTTCCGATGTAGGCTGGGGAGATACACCAACAACAACAGCAGACACTGGCTGGGCCACATTTGACAGTTTTACAGACATTCGAATGGCTCCAAGCAGGTGTGAACTCAATATGACTATTAGTCACGTGCAACCTTGCCTTTTCGTAAAATATCTTGCCAAATAAACTGCATCCACTTGTTTTCCACTGCTTTCACACTCTAGAACCCAACCCAAATAAACTTCAAGCACTGATAGCATTGTGGGTGCTGTATTACAAATAATAAAGAGAAGCTGTTGACCTTCAACACAATTCAGTTCATCTCTGGCAGGGTTGTCACTAAGATTTCAAGTTGCTGGGTAAATACAACAAATAGGCGGGGAATCAAACAGCTAGGGATTTCTTTTGGTTCTACTTTTCTTCTATTTTCCAATAAAAGTAACCGGGGGCCACTCTCTTAGTAGCCGGGGAAAATCCCTGGCCGCCGGCTCTTAATGACAACCCTGCTCTGGTGATTGTGTCCTTAATTCTCATAACTTTCCTGTTCGATTAAGCTGCTGGTTACAGGGAGAAATCAGATGCTAATAATTCTGTGGCAATATAGGTTTAAACATGGTTGTGGTGAATTGTAGTGACTTGAGCTTCCAGAGCCAGCTCGCAGGCTTAGCTATGTTATTTTGTTTTAAATAACTTTAAGCTAGCCTGTGACTCCTCAGTGTTGTACCCTCCCCATCTGTACTCAGTATACTCCACTGTGGTCCTGTTTACTTGCTGTTTGAACCTTGAACGTGGTTGACTTTTGTTGTTTTCAGTGAATCATCGGAAGATGCAGGCGATTCTCCTGTAGCCATGGAAACAGAGACACCACAAGTTATTGCACAGGCAGGAGCAGCGTACAGTAAGTTAACTGTCGTCATAGATATTAATACCTCAACTCATTGATGTACTTGTGTTACAATACTCAAAATATGAGTGAACAAAAACGTATAATCACCGTTTCGTCATTGAGAGATTTGTGTGCTGGTTTCTTTTTTGGTATGTGATCTTGTCAGTCTAGAGAAAATGTCATGAGCGCTCATTAGAGTAATGGGCTTGTTTTTCCTTGAACAAGTCGCATGGAAAGTTTTTTAATCTCTGGTTCAAAAATTCTATTTTGAGCCTTTAAGTATCTCTAGAAATAAGATATGGGCGAAAAGTTTGTTCTCCGTTGTTCAATCCCAGTTATCTCTATCTCCTTGTTCTGACGGGACAGTTTTTTCCCATATGGGGATTTAGCTCCCAAAATGCTTCACTTCGTCATATCGTTACTTATGAGGGAAGGGTGGGGAAGCTAAAAGTTTTGCCGATGGGGTGGGTGCTTATTTGGGGGTGGTCAATAATTGGACCGATCGATCATTTGAGGAAATACAGAACTGCACTGGATATATATATATATATATATAAATGATGCACTCTCCTGCTTTAATTTTGTTATAGTTGTTAAAGAAGATACCAGCCCAAACAAGGAAGATGAGCTAAGGTACTTAATTAAATCAACACTCTTTTCCTCTACAACCTGTTAATTTACTATGTTTATCTATTGGTCGCCACTTGCCTCGTCCCTAGGCCTCATTGTTCCGCGCGGCCAATGCGTTTTGGGTCACGTGGTCCAAGCGAGTTATGCATTGACCGAGAAGGCTTGGAAATATGTCTTACAGGGACCAGGCAAAGTCGCATCTGAAAGCATATGAATTTTTTTATTAGAACACAAGGCCTGGTGTCCAGTGCTGAGGATCTTGGAGTAACCCGGGATACAGATGAAGGAAAGTCTACAGAGCAGACTGAAGCTTCCCCTGCCTTGGACAGAGCTGCTTTGTACAGGTAGAAATGACCGGGAAGCCAGAATGGTTATTTCAAATATCGAAATAGTAATATCGTGTTCTGATTAAGTAGTTTAATAAGACAATGGCAAAGTTAACCTTCCCGTTCCTCGTTTCCTTAAAAAAGGCAAGCATCCGTTCGTGAAAAATGTTTTCGTGTGATAGAAGTCAGTTACCGCAGAGTAGTATGTTTGTTTACCCGTTTCACTTCTAGCTAGTTATTTTGGAAATGCAAGGTCGAGAGCCAGAGTTTCACTGCAATAGAACGCGTAGACGATCGAATGAGCCAATCAGATCTCACAGAAAACACGTGGCGGGAAAACGCCTGTGCGCAAGTGACGATTGCTTTCAGTTTTGATTCTCATTGGTTGGGAAGGTAGTGTCAGATTTCTTAGCCAATCAGAATGCAAAGCAGGTCAAAATCAAAGTAAAAAGAAAGCTTGTTTTCTGTTTTGTCATCAGGTGCGAGGCTCAACCAAGTGATAGCTCAGCACCTTTAGCGACAAATGATAGTGATGATGACATTTCAGATGACGAAACCACTCCAGACAAATGTGAGGAAGCTTTCTCTAGGTGAGATGGGCTGAAGAACAGCTCTGTTCTTCCTCTGTATTTTATTGGCACTGACTTCTACACTTCTGTGTCGTAATACTCCTTTTTGCAGTCTTTTAAGAAAAAAATTTGGAATGTTGTAGGGTGTAAAGTTAAATTTCAACTTTCTGCAGCATATTAACTAATTCCAAACTTCTGTTAACACTGCAAATAAACCTGCACCGTGAGCTTAGAAACTTGTAGCTTGTAGAGAAGAAAAATCTAACTCGTTTAAGGGATGCTAAATACTTTGTAATAACTCTTTTTAGACTGACAGACGAAGGAACAAGAGGAGAAGGATCTCCGGGCAGTGAGGTACTGGTAAGTTGTGTGTTGAGTGTGGTCCATTTTGTGTATTATCGCCAATTACGCGTCTTTACTCGCTATGGAACCTAAAGTTAACGAAGAATTTACTTGTGACTGACAAAAGGACAGCCTGGTTATAAGCAAGTTTACCCCCCAATCATTATATTGAAGCTACAAACAACAGAGGGTTGTTTTTACCTTTCATTTCCTTGCAAGAACATAACTACACAGTGGAGTACATTGTGTTCGATCTGGCTTACACCACCAAGTTGTTTTGTTGTGTTGACTTAGGCCTAACAGAGGGTCTTTCGTTGTTTTCGTATGCAGCCCCTGAATAATGTTCACGAGGCCAAAATGACAAGTTCAAAGCTGGATAATGGACCTGTGGAATTTACTACGGACAAGGCACAACAAGGATCATCAAAGAAGAGTAAAACGGATCAAGACGCACCGCGGTAAATCATTAAGTCCATTGGAAGCGTTTATTACCTATTTTTCGTCGCTTGTAGATGGTCTTATCCAAGGGTACTTTGCCTACGGCTAGTAGTATATAAGGAATGTTTTGCTCCTTTTTCGCGAATAAATCGTTTACTTAGCAGAAGAATACATCACTGCCGAGGATGTCATAGCGTTTTGTCTTTGTCTCTTGACTAAAATTCTTGGAATCTCATTTTCGGTGGTTTTACCGGTTGAACGAGTTATTTTGTTATTTTTACGTCGTTGAATGTCTTGGTCCATGACTGGTTCAATAAAAACTAAGAAAAGTGTTTATTTATGGATTCATGTTGTCGATGAAATCAAGGCGCTTGTGGCGGTGATGAGATAAAGACAAAAGGCCACAACTTCATCGGCGTTAATGTATTTCTCCGCAAAGTAACAAGATTCCTCGGCAAAAAAGGTGTATAACATCCCTGCTATACTACTTTGAGATGATGCGAATTCGCTTAACCTCTATTAAGCGTTCACTTACCAAACATCCAAAAATCGTGTTTTGTAATTACTGTTAACCTGACCTCTAGTTAAGCTTTTGCAGTCACTAACCTTTCCCTGAGCATTATTGAATTATTTTTTAATGTCCTCACCAGCAGCTGATCACTGAATAAACCTATATAAGCCATACGTTGACTAGAAGCTTCGACCTGTGTTTGACTTTTAATACCTAAGAAACATCCGAGCCTGTTACAAAATCTTTGGTTCTTTTGTGCGAGTTTTAAATGTATTTAAGTGAAATGTTATAAATTATTGCAGCGAGTAACTTGTTGTTTCTTATCAGTGTGATTTTGTGTTTCAGATCGCCTCTAAAAGAGTTGGAGTCACAAACAAATCTAGTGAATGGCCCAGGATAGCTTGAAAAAAGAGAATTAGTGGCTTGATCACTGTTTGTAACCTTGATAATTTTGTATGTTTATAGATGACGGACTGTGTAAAATATTTTAATGATGGCTTGGACTGCACTGTGAGTCCAGCCATGTGGTTTAATAGGAACCATGATATGCTGTATTCTAGAACGTCTTTGTACATGCGAAGATTTCTTAAAAGTCACTTCATTTGACCAAAGGATAGGGAACTTAGAGTCAAATTTTTAATGTTATGATATAGAAATCAAGGGAGGATTGCCTTCTTTGTAAAGATGAATTGTTTGCTTACTTACTCGTTCAAAAGATGAACTATCTGATGTTTACTGCGCTCCTGAAGTGATCATATTATTTTGTCTTTTCATTATCCTGGACAGAAAGCAGGTCGAGATAAGAGTTGGGAAAAATAAAATAATCAACGAGGACAGCGAATGTGGTATAATTATTATCAGCGCTACTTTGACCGATGTGGTGGCTTACAAGAACACTCCCGCTAAAGGGTACATTTAGCGTAAAAAAACTCTTTCTCGACAATTGTTTTTACATCTTTCACACCTATTGTAGTTCTGCTTTTAAAATGGCATTTGTTTTCCTGTGAGAAGTTTAAAAGCACTGCTAAATCTAAGAAAAAATGTAAAAAATAGCCCTCTTTCTTAATGGCGGCCTATTAAGATATTCTCCTGGGGGTAGTTGGGTTAATTTTTGGTCGGTATGCGCCGCTGGCCTATCAAAGCTCCTACGCCATTATGGTCTATTCTCTGGCCAATTATCAATTATAGACCCCATCTTAGTCACGTTTCGGCAAGTATGTAATTTTCGCGATCCCAACTTAGTCACTTTCTATTTTTATGAACTGAACCATTTTTTGGATCGAATGAAGACCACGTTACTTTTCATCTACAGTACAAGCATTCTGGTACGTTTGGTAACCGTAAATAAGAAGAACTGTCTTACCTCCAAAAAATCTGAAAATGTGCGACCCCATTCTAGTAACGCTATTGAAAATGCGACCACATGATAGTCAATCCAATCGAAAAAATGCGACCCCATCCAGCGGCACATGCCCATGAGCCTCTTATAAGGAAGTATTCCCCGAGTATATTCTAGAACTCTTGTATTTTGCAGTATAAGAGAATGTATTAATAGACCGCCATTTTGAAAGAGGTCAGTTTACACCGGTGAGTGAACCTTGATCGCCAAGCCTCCGCAAATAGGTGTGACGCATATGGTTTCGATCGCTACATGAATGCAGTACGTGAGTAAAACAGATAAAAAGGAGAGAAAGAACTGAGAGAGGGGATCCAACGTATGAAGGCCTCTTTCTTTTACCAAATAATACAGAAATGTTATAAGGCTGTGTGGGTTTGTTGTTTTCAAGCCACAGTTTGTATTTAATTATGTGCTTGAAAGAAGTGTTTTTCTATAAATAGTGAGAACATCGCGAAGTCATGTTTAACGAAAAAAAATCCTTACTGTCATTGCATAAATCACTGACAGATAAACTGTAATATGTACACGTACATCCGAAGGGTTTTTTTTGAGCAGTTAGAACGGTAGACTTCGTTGACCGTCTAGACTGTACAATAGGGACCTTACGAAACTGCGACAGCGACGACGAGGAGAGCGCCAAAAAAGCAATGGGTTTAATGAACAAAACAGCAACTCTGCACGTGCATCACCCTTTTTGTACATTTCTTTGCTGTCCCTGCAAAACTATGACGTGAAATGACCAAATTTTAAGTTTACTTGAGAACGGGAAAGGTAAGGCCATAAATTTACCATCTCTGTCTGAACTCGGGCGCGGTCCCCTCTCTTCATCTCCAACCTAAATTCCCTTCTTTTAACTAACAGGGCGACTTGGGAAAATCTCGAAAAAGTTTATAATGATGCAAAGTCTATTTTTCAGCGACGTTTTCATGGACGTTGCCGTTGTCGGATCGCAAGGTTCCTTATGAAGACAGAAGGGGTGAAATTTTTACTATTCACTTAGTAGGTGCGTACGATACAAATCGGGTAAGAGTCAATAGAAACTAAACAGCGAATTCAATTATAGTTCGGTCGGATTGAGCTTGAGTCAAATTGCTGCAATGATCAGTTATTTAGAAACTATGTTTGGGTGCGGTGAAGGAAAATTAACAGAAATGTGGTGGCGGTGCTGGTGACGGCAAAGAAATGTGATGGTGTCGATCGAGGAAGGAAAAGTAATGAAAACGTGATGGTGGAAGGAAAACATCGAGGCTTTTTTTAAAAAATGAACACCAACCGCTTCCAGAAACTCAAACTATCATGACTCACCCTATGGGCAAGGTTGGAAATGTCGTTACCCTATGTGTGCTATGGTATACTCCTTGCTGTACTCATAAACCTCGACCTCAACAAGACTACAATGATCAAGCACATGAGGTCTGTTACGCGAACCCCAACTCCCACAGACCTACGGTAAATAACTATTTACTGTACAATATAGGGGTGAACATACCGTATACTGTCGCTTGTAAGCCTTCCCACTTGTTAGCCCCCAAAGTTATAAGCCCATCGGCTTGTAAACAAAAACATACATCCGTTTATAAGTTCTTCCCCCGGATATAAGCTCCCGCCTCCAAATGTATTGAAAAGAATAGCTTGTTTCGAAGCGCTCCTTCTATTCCGGTTAAAAGCCCCCTCGGATATAAGCCACTCCATTTGAAACAGGAGCGCCCAACGATTATTTTCTGTAAAATATCTGTTTGGAGTGGAAAAAATTGCCTAGAATTTTCTATAGCTGCAGGGAGGCTAAACATTTCTAGATGGCAATTTTCGAACCTTATCTAATAAATTCCTACGATTTTCTTAAGTATTGTTTTTCGCATAACAGGTTCAGTTATTTTTCGTAGAAAAAGGAAACCTAAAATTTCCGCATTCAAAAATGCAACGGAGAGGAATCAGAAAAATTCTTAAATTTGGTAACTCTTTACATTGCATCTGAATTTTCGGGAAAATAATAATCAAGCCCGTTTTAATTTCGAAAAGACTCAATTTGCCCTAGCATGACCGAACAGATACAAATTTTATAGCGCCGCTTAGAACGCAATTCTATCGATCTAAAAGTACTCTGGATAGCCTAAAAAGTGTTTTCAATGTATGTAGGAGGAAAACGTCATTGGGTGCCCTTGTTATGCAAGGGCACCCAACGTCAATTTTCGGAAAATATCCGTTCGGAAGACGATTTGAGATCTAGAATTTTCGGAACATTTGTTGTAAAATTTCTTGCTTGCCTGCCTCTCTTAGGATTTTCAAACATCTAAAAAATGGTATAATTGCTCATTTTTAACGAAGTTTTACCCTGAAGAGGTCACCTAGAATTTCCGGGAGCCTTTTTTCTGGCTGAAATTTTCGAAAAGGTAAGTTTTGATCCCTATAATTTTCGGATCACCAGACTTTCAGCTAGGAAATCCGAACAGATGAAAAATTTTTATGGGATAAAAATATGCCTATATCTACCGTTTAAATACTAAAATACGTTTGACAATGCTATGTTTAAGTGGTTTTGAACTATATTCTAGTTAGGTGCCCCCGTTATAAGCCCTAATCGAGAACCCCTTACGAAGATGTATAATCCCAGGGCTAACACGCGGAAGTCTACGGTATTCACATGTCACGAGGCATTTTTGTCAGGAAATCGCAAACCAATCCTGAGTATCAGCCTCACAGCAAATTCATTTTTATTACGATAGGATTACGATAGGATTATACTGATTGTTATATTGATTATACTGATTATACCTATTTTTATTACGATAGGATTATACTGTTACTCTGATTTTTGTAATGACCGGTTATATATATTAGAAATTCTGTTTGTCGATCACTGGAAAACATGCACACAGCTTTTGTCTAAATCAGTAACAAATAGCTGACCATTGTTTGAAACGGCTACAGAACAAGGACCAGTAAGCCCAGTGTCAATTGAATTGACAAACTGTCCTTCAAGAGTAAAAATCATAAGCCTTGCTGTATCACGATCACACACCACTAGGTTATTGAACCTGTCAATTGCAAGGCCAACAGGACACTTCAGCTGCCTTTCACCAGGGTCTGGAGCGCCGATACTGCTTGGAAACTCACGATCCTTGCTGTAAACCTTAACATTACCTGCCTCATAATACGAAGCAAAAAACTTATTTTGGCAGCACACAGCATAGCACGGAGTTTCACGTTCAGGATCAGTGATTGTGAGTAAAAGCTGTGTGCCGTCAGAGGACAGTACCTTGACTGTATCGTCATACCAGTCACACACCATCAAACGCCCATCGCCTGCAATTGTCAGGCAGTGTGGTGTCTTAATGTGTTTGTTGGTGACAAGTTTCACAAATTTATAGCTTTTATCGAAACAAAAAATTTTATCAGACGCAGTAACTATTAATTCACTTGACTTGCTGAATGCTACCGATGTGGGTTTATTAAGTTGGTTGGTGCTAATATCTCCCATATACTTTCCTTCTGAACTAAATAACTGTACCCCATTCATCAAATCTGCCACCGCAACGTTCTTTGAATTGTCATCTATTGCAATACAAACGGGCCAATCAAGTACAGGCTGTCCTCGTCTTCCCCCAATTGAACCAAAAGAAAAATGATACTTGTAACGATGTGAGGTGACATGAACACGCCATGGATTACCGGGTAGGAGCTCACCGTTTACCGCAATCAGTGCCTCGTGCTGTCCAACACAAACTGGTGTGTAAGTGACGTGAAATGCACCATCCACTCCCCGGGCGATGAAATGATTCAATTCCTTTCCTGATGGAGATTGTACTTGTACATGAATCTGATCCATATCGTCATAGCACCAGTTTCCATCAAAATCTTTTGTCGTAATCTTAATTGTTGCTTCTTTTCCCAAGTACACATTTTTCAGCCCTGTTCCTTCAATCATCGACTGCTCAGGATTTGTGTTACTTACTACAACTCGACCGACAGCAGTAACTGCGCTTCTCACATTTTTTACATGTTCTTCATTTGTCTGGTATCTGACATGCGATGGCTTATAAATGTGTAGTTTCTCTGCATTTAAAAGACCTCTGCACCGTGCAATAACAACATGATGCACTTGCAAAATTTCAACGCTTTTTCTTCTCAGTAAGATGCCTTCGCACCACTCGACCTGTTTTTGCAACTGATTCATAGAAATTTGGAAATGTTCCAGTTGTGCTGCGTGCTCTCTTTGTTCTTTTTCTTCAAATACATCTAATCTGGTTATCATAGCTGTCTCATGTTCCTCTAAAAGTCGGATGAGTTCTCCAACAGAAGTCATTACTTTATTTCGTGCCGTAGCTATCCTCTCTCTACTCTCTTTCAAGGATTCCTTTGTTTTTTCTGCACGCTCCTTGTAATTATCAAGTTCTCTCTTCATATCTTGCAAAATATCCTCGATATCGACTTTGTGCTGTTCTGCAGCTTGGTAGATATCCACAGTGGTGTGATGATTGTGGCGAGTTTGTCTACACTTGTCGCAAATACATACTTTGCATTTTTTACAGTATAACGTCACAAGTTCATTCTCGTGATATTTTTCTCTGCACACCGACGAAGTGTCCACTATCCTTTTCGTTGTTTGGTTGCTACCTTAAGAAAAACGAAATTCAATATATTGACTGGAGGTTAATCATACGAAATGAACACACACCGGAACAGACTCAACGTACCCTATGTACTTTCAAATTGATTAACGTGCATTTTAACACACCTGAAACGGAAAGTAAACTACAAGTCTTAGACGTTCGTTACATTTTGGAGGAGTATGCATCCTCGAAGATTTTTATACCGTCTTTTACCAAAATGCTGTCAAGACCTTAAAAAAAACTGAAAAATAAGATTATATCAGAGTTAGCCCGTAAGGGTATTGCGGACCGACAAGTGGAACCAGGTAAGAGAAATCAGATTCCGGAATCCGGGGGAATTTTGCTCGTGGAATCCGGAGTACAACTCAAGGAATCCAGAATCCGAGACTTTCTTGGATGCCATTATATGGGGCGAGACAAGTTTGTTTCACCGTTGATCGTGAGTTGTCTCATATCACGTTCATGTTCCCAATGTCAACATCAAAGAGAAGCAAGTTTCTTTAAACTTAAAAATCCAACTCAAAGCACAGGTTATGACGAAATCCCACCTAGAGTGCTAAAGCTGGCAAGTAACGTCTTGGCACTGTCGCCAACGAACATTTTCAACTTGTCCATACAGACCATGCCAGCAACTGAGCCGAAAAATAAAAAAGGGAATATGGGTGCCCATTCAGAAGAAGGATAACCACATGAAAGAAGTTAAAAACGAAACACATTTTAAAATTATTACCGCAGCAAACAACGTTTTTTAACAGTTGCTAAGCAACCAAGTAAAGCAGTTCACGGAGCCTTACTTGGGTGTACAAAAGCCTAACAACTTTTACCGTCATTGTCGCAGCTGTGAAACTATACCTCGATCATACTTGTAGCCATATATAGTTATAACTATGTTGAAATCGAGAGTTAAGTGCAACCTGTGTCGTCCACTATATCATATATATAGACTCAGACTCCGAAATTCTGGCGACTACTTTATTCCACGTTTCAATACTACCACCTCTGGGAAACGTAGTTTAAGCTGTCTAGTGTAAACAATTGCCGGCAAGTTAAAAGGAAAATCAGAAACTTAGACCTAGATGTTTTACATTATTTTGAAAAATATCAATTTTATATCTTAGACATCTTTCATGTGTAAGCTTCTGACGCTCTATTTCACGCTTTTCTTGGTGTTAGAGTTTTAGCTTCTAGACCTTTTAAGAAGAAAAAGCGTTATTTACGCACCTTCACTACTGGCTGGAATCATAGTTGACGCTACAAAGTCATCAAGCTTCTTTGTGAGGTTTTTTACTTCGGAACCAATTTCTTTTACATCGTTGCTAACTTCTTTTATGCTGGTGTCACATTCTTTGATGTTAGTACCAATCTCTTTTACTTCGCTGCCAAATTCTTTTATGTTAGTTCCAACTTCTTTCACGTTGGTGCGAATTTCTTTTAACTCATCTTTTATGTTATCTTCATCATTTTTCCACTGATGAAGGAGTTCTTTGTAATGGCACTCCATATCGGGATCCATGCAGCAAAATTCCAAGTTGTCAATAGCGACCTTGAAATAGAACGGAGAATATATATATCACTGAATTATGTAAAATAATAATTAATAATAGTTGTGCATAAAAAACAACAGCAACAACACACCTGCAAAAACAAACACAAAAATTAGAAGAAAGCATTAGGAGGAGGCGTGGTACATGAGGAAAAGACCGACAGAATATTGATATCAGAGTTTGAATCTATTTTACCTTGTATGTAGCTCCCCCTAGCCGTACTAGAGTGTCTCGGATTTCCTTCCAGTGTGAGTTAAACGTCGCGTCATCAATAGAAGCGTGCTCGGCATGAGCGTACACTGTATTCCTGAAGTATTTGACTCGAGCAATGTCCGCCTCACGGCTCAGGTCTGTGGCAGCGGGGAGCACGTCCCATCCGGTTACCGGAGGAGCCAGACCGCAGATGTTGCGTAGTAAAGTCATCAGGAGAGTGATGTCAAAATGTTTTGACGAGACTGAAGTAGAAATGGCTGGGAAAAGTTTTCCCCATTGAGTCGCATTGATGATTCTTCTCGATCTCAAAGACTTTAATGAAGGATTACTGGCTGCCAAGATCGTGTGAAGAGTTGGTGGTGTGCAGATGGCATCAAAGCAATCCCTGAGGGCACAAGTTCCCAAATCGACAAGAACACAGCATAACCTGGCATAATTAGTTGTTTCTTTTGTAGTTGGAGTTGCAGGTGTAGCAGAAGCCATGGAAACAAATGACTTTAACTCCTAGTCAACACAAGATAGAATGTTAAGTCATTTCTTCCCCGATATTTTTTTTAATGACAGCAGTGATTAGACAGTGTCAATAATCCTGCGAGTAAGGGTGGATTTCCACTGTAGCGTAATTATTACTTGCGTACGCGCAAAAAAATTACGTATGTAAATAAAGTAGGGGCAACGTATGAAAGGCCGCGCATGGCCGTTTCATCCTCGGAGACCTAGGGGAAGCTAGTCGGGACGATAGAATGTTCGTGGTGTTACAGTAAACTTTCACCACGACCATTCTATCGTCCCGACTAGCCTCCCGTGTGTCTCCGAGGATGGGCCGTTTTAGAGGTCAAGAAATACTCGGCTGGCTGAGAAAGAGGGTTTGTAGTCCTAAATCCCATTCAGCTGAAGACTCCTGAATACAGTAGCACCTCGATAACTCGAATTCCCAGCTAACTCGAACTAAATTTCCTTTCCCTTGATCAAAACTTCACTGAAATTTACCGCGATAACTCTAATTCCCCGCTAACTCGGACTGTTTTTCGTTTCCCTTCACAGTTCGATTTACCGTTGTTTCAACTGTACTTTTTTTCAGTCTCAGTGGGTTCCAGTCCTCTCTCCTACTTATTCACTTCCGCTGTTGTCCAATGCACATAACCCAGGGTATGGGACGCTCCACTTTCAAGTCGGGTGCGGCGCAACTTCCTTCCGTTCCATCTTACGTGTGAACAGAAGCCCTAACCGCCATGTTTTTTGTGCCGGCTCAAGAGCTATCCAGAATAGTGAGAACATCGTTTTTTCCTCATGCAAATTCTTATATTTAGAAGGTTATGCAACAGTGCCGACGCTCATGCATATTTTTCGCGCTTGGACTTCCTGTGTGTAGACTGCGAGCGGTCTCTTATTTTTCTTTGCAAAGTTACTGCTATATAAGCACGCGCGGCGAAGCCGCTTGCCGCGATTCTCGTCTCGTCTCAATCCCTAAATTTGCAATCGCGCTGGATTAGATAAGAACTAGACGGATTTTAAGAGAAAGGCGGACTGCAAGCAGTCTATACTGTGTCGTGACAAAAGAGGAACTGTGTATAAACTGAAATACAAGCAGCCCTGCTTTAGTCTTTGACCTTAGCAAAGCCAGCACGATTTTCCGTGCGTGCTAGTTGTCATAAATTCGACTACCATAAGCAAGATTAAATGTGCTTCTTAATCATGAGCAACACGCAAACTCTAAGTTTTGGTTTCTCGTAGCTCTATATCAAACACGGAATGACACTGAAAGTTTATACGCTACCTTGTCTTGTTTCCCATAATATAGTATAAACAATCCATCTTAAATTATCAACAGAAGTTATTTTTATCAGAGAATTTAGGCAATATTTCCTCTGATTTCGCGTTTATAATAACAGGCTGAGAACGAATCCAGTATCAACACTTTTCTCTAAAGCTAAAATATTACCCTGATTACCAAGCGACTGAATCACCGATCACCATCTAGATTTCTGCTTTCACAAGCTAAGTTCTCCCTTATTTGCTCCTTGTTTTTTGTCGAAGAGTTTCTATGAAGTTTATGTATAAAAAGTACTGTTAGGGTTTTTTGATCAAAGGGAGATTTAAAGACGTACCTGAGCTTTCAATATTCTGGACCGTTCAGTTGTTACACTTAAATCGCACACGCAAACAGGAAGTGAGCATGATTTGTAGTATCAGTGATTCTTTTTCATCTTGCTCTTTGGCTCAGAACCCGGGGGGGGTACTCCCTAATATGGGCTATATAGGTATGTGCGGCCCCAAAGGGTAGGGTTTTTCAGCCGTTTTGGTCATAAATTGGGTATCGATTTTGGCTATTTTGCCGCCATTTTGGTCATAAATAGGGTAACGATTTTTGCACTGTAGTCTTGAATGCACTTTTTTAGAAGAAGCTATTTCCTTATCATGTCCCCCTAACCTAATAAAAGCAGATAAACATTGCCTTTAACATTGGTCTGAACTAGGGAAATAATTATAAGGCAGGTCTGAAACAGGGTATTGATTTAAGGGTCAGGTCATAAATAGGGTATCAAATTTTTGGTTAGGTCATAAATAGGGTAGGGAAAATCGCAGATTTTGGTCATAAATAGGGTAAGGGTTTTGGGAAGCGGGCCGCACACCCCTACCCAATTTTTCTGCGAGTACCCCCCCCCCGGGAGAACCCGGGCTCAGAACCAGTTAAATCTTCGTCGATCACGACAGTTAAGACAGTGCTGGACACCATTAAATAGTCTATTAGCAGAAAGATCAAAATGAGCTGTTTGCCAGAGAGAAAACAATAAATTTTAACCGTTGAGTCTTCAATGAAGACCAGCCATCAGCAATAAATAGAAGGAATTTGCAATTGGAGCAAAAACCTTGCTATCTGGGGGGCCCTGGGAGCGACGGGGAAAAGGGGGTTTTAAGTCACACACTGCAGCAAAACTACTATACGGGGGTGGGTGAGAGGATGAGGAAATAAAGACGACGTAGGGGACGTCTGGGCCAATCTCTTTCCCACTCCTCTCTTCTTCTTGGAGCGAGTGAGAGAAACGAGATGGACTAAGGACGGCAACTCTAGACGACATAAGGTCCGATATTTTCGGTTTGAAACCCGGCACAAACTTTCAACAGGAGCTAAAAAAGAAAATATCAAATATCAAAAAGTAAAAAAAGGCTTTTTCGCCCCGTTGATGGTTGCTTTGCAAACTAAAATATTGGGCAAATACACTTAAATAGTACCATTGAGGCCATTTGATTGTTCTTTATATTTATTCTGTCTTAATCTCCTGTTCGCAAGGATCAGTTTACTGTTTTTGTACATCAGTATATAAATTCAGCCAGTACACCTATACAGCCTATATGGCCCATATATGGGATCCCCCTGAAAGGGGTGGGTATTAATGAAGTAGCAATGTGTTTTCCAAAAATTCGTTTTGTGTCATTCTTCAACATGCATTATCTAGAAGCATCTCCTAGAAAGCTTTACCTGTCTATGTTTGCTTGATAAAACTGAAATGCCTGTATACAGTATACAACAGCACATTTTACTCTATTTCCAAATATAACTTTAACCTACATGTACATCAATTTGAAGAAGGCAAAACCACAAAAGGTTTGTTCAGCAATAATGGATATGACTACGATTGAACGGGCAAGGGCCAATTCCAAAACACAACACGTTCACGATCAGCAAATGTTTTTACTATCAACGAGCCATAAAAGCAAATTCCTACAAAGAGCGAAAAAATAATAGTTACAATACAGAAAAACTACTTTAAGGCGGCTGCAAAATGAAATTAATGAAAAACGATGAAAACGAAGCTGCTTACCAAATGCTGAGGATGACAGGGTTGGTGGTCAGGGCCACCGAAGGAAAAAATCTACTTCCACTAATGCTGTTACACTAATACACACGTAAACTGGTAAAAAATAAGGGCGCGATAACAAACTATAACGAAATTTACATACAGCACGTAACAACGGAGCGTAATTAACGAAATACCGGAGAGCGAAAAGAAAAAGAATACACGATAACAAGTAAGTAAGAAAACGAAAAACAAAGGGAGAATATATTTGCCCCAACAACGATAGAATAGGTCTAAACTGGAAAAAAGGTAACAGGGACTCAGAGATTTCAGTTTGTTTTTTATTTATTTACTAATTTTGTCAGGGGTTCACAGAAGACGTCAAAATGTGTACATCAGTGGCACACTCTCCTGCGGCTCGTGTGCCACTTTTTTTTGTTCTTACCACATTATGACGCCATCTATTATGTATTACTGAACAGACGCACGGCAACATGGCATCTATTTGTTAAGTATACAGCGTTTTCACTCACGTGGCCAGCATCTGATTATCTTTTAGTAATAGTAAAATACATGTATAATTCACGGAAAGTAAAACATGACGTCAAATTTGTCCTAAAACTGTCAAAAGCTGACAAAAACTGAAAAACGTATATTTGTTATCTGTAAGTGGAACCTATTCATATTATCTAATAATGGAAAGAAAATCTAGAATCACGCCTCCTACCACTAGATTCGCACATTTGGCCAAGTTTGAGTACTTTTCCTTTCCTTTGTCTCTTTTTTTCTCTCTTAATTTTTAAACGCTGCTTATTTTTTTAGGCTTCTTCCCTTGCACCAAGTTGTCTCAATTTTTCCTCCACTTTCTCTCCAAGGGTCCGTTCATATTTACAGTATAAACTGAGTGATTTCTCGGACGCTCATTGGTTCTGTTAGAGATTTACTGAATAGGAAACGAATAAAGGGGTTAGTTTCTAAAACGCCTTATACTGCGTGACACAAAATCTTGGTTTGTTAATAAGGGAAAACAGATCATGAAACAAACCCACTCGAACATAATAAGAGGCTATGTAGTCTAAGTAGACCATAAAAATACTTAATGATGGCACAATTTTTTTTTCTCTGTCGCCTGCGATTTTCCACATTGTTCATGACAAAGTCGCAGACCATTCACATGACGTAATATTTTTACATCTTTGAAGTGAAACCGCTAGCCGCAGTTCTACTGGAGTTTTGAAAAGCTCGACGTAATTACTATGGTCTACGCAAGGACAGACCACGGGAAATTGTTGTATATTTGGTAAACTGACCAAAAGTCTAGCAAAATTCTTTGGGACACACTCCAGGGTTCTGCTGGATACTGCTGATTAGATCCTAATTTTTACACCAAGATATCCCTTGACCTCGAAAAGCCATTCACCCTGGCTTAAAGAGTGATCTCTTTTTCTCGCCCCTTCAAACAATTCCTATCGCTCCTTTAGTGACTTCAAATAGTGAAAGATGTTTTTGTTAAAACTTGGTTCCTCACTGGAAAAGGTGAAGACACATTTCGTTCATATCAGTCACCAACAGCTTACCAGCTTCTGACACAGCAATAAAATGAGGCGCACTAAGTCCAGTGTCTTCTCCTTCTATTGCGTTTACATATTTTCCTTCAAGGGTAAACACCTGTAGCCTTGCTTTTTGACTGTCACACACCACCAGATTATTGAACCGGTCGATTGCAAGACCAACAGGAGACTTGAGTTGTCCTTCACCGGACCCGGAGTTACCGATATTGTACAAGAAAACGCCATCCTTGCTGAAAACCTTAACACCTGTCTCAGAAGAAACAAAAAACATGTCCTGATGGCACAGTGCATAACGTGAGATGGCATCATCAGGATCATTGATGGTTAGTAGCAATTGTGAGCCATCAGAGGACAAGACCTTGACTGTATCGTATTCACACACCATCATGCGTCCATCACTTGCAAAGCTCACGGACTTTGGTTTCTGCAGATGTTTGTTGGCGACATGTTTCACAAATTTGTTTTCTCCAATCAAACGAAACAACTTTTCAGAAGCAATAACCACAATATTACTAAACTTGGTGAATGCTACTGATGTAGGTTTAGTTAGTTGTTTCAGAGTATCTAGCTTTTCGAAACACAGCTCCTCCCCGTCATAAATAATATCATACAGCATTACCCTATTTTCATAATAGGCCACTGCAATCTTGCGAGACCGGACATCTATTGCAATAGAACAGGGACACCCAATTCGATCTCTTCTTTTAAGCATATTCTTAATTAATAAAGGTTCGAAGGAACCACAATATCTATAACAATGTGGAGTCACAAAAACACGCCATGGACTACCAGTCAGCGGTTCTCCGTTAACCGTAATTCTCACTTCATGTTCACCAACACAATCTGGTGTGTAATTGACGCCAAATTCACCACCTTTTCCGGGTGAAATCTTGTGGCTCAGCTCTTCCCCTAAAGAAGACTGAACTTTGACGAGAATTTGATCGTCTTTATTGGAGCAATGGTTACCATCAAAATCTATTGTTGTTATTTCAAGTTTCGCTTCCCTTCCGACCTCAACTTCCTGTAACCCTGTTCCTTCAGCCACCGACTGCAAAGGATCTGTGCTACTTGTAACAATGCCACCCACTGCCTCGACTGCACCTCTGAAATTTTCCTTATGCCCTTCATTAATTTTGTATCTGACATGCGCTGGCTTGTAAATGTTCAGTTTTTCTGCATCTAAAAGACCTCTGCACCGTCCGATAAGTGCATGATGTGCTTGAAGAATTTCAACGCTTTTTTTCCTCTGTAAGATACTTTCGCACCCCTCGACCTGTACTTGTAACTGAGTCATAGAAATTTCAAAATGCTCTTGTTGCGCTGCATGCTCTCTTTGGTATTTTCCTTCAATGTTTTCTAACTTAGTTATCGTTGTTTTTTCATATTCTCGTAAAAATCGGATGAGTTCTTCAACAGATGTCATTACTTTATTGCGTGCGATAGCAATACACTCTCTACTTCTGTTGAAGAATTCCTGTGTTCTTTCCGCTTTTTCTTTGTGATCAGCAATTTTTCCCTTCATTTCCTGTACAATGTCTTCAATTTCGACTCTGTGTTGCTCTGCAGCTTGATCGATATCCACCGTTGTGTGATGACTGTGACGTGTCTGTTCACACTTGCGACAAATACACACTTTGCACTGTTTACAAAAAGAAGCCACAAGCTCCTTCTCGTGAAATTTCTCTCTGCACACCAAAGAGGTATCCATGATCTCATTAATTTCTGGCCCATTACCTTACGGAAAACGAAAAAAAGTTAAGTTAGTTGATAACACAAAGGAACATACCAAACGAAGTACCTGTTTGAGACAGCGTAAGGGGAACTACGAGTCTAATAACCAATACTCCGCACCGAGACTTGGGCCCCGTTCGCACTACGCAAAATTTTATTTGCTTGCAAAAAAATCTGTCAACAAAAAGCCATTTCCACTGCGAACGATTTTATTCACCTACCAAAATTTCTCAAGTATTAACCAAGCTTCGAAGATGCCGTCGAGAAAGTTTGGAGCCCGGGGGGGGTACTCCCTAATATGGGCTATATAGGTATGTGCGGCCCCAAAGGGTAGGGTTTTTCAGCCGTTTTGGTCATAAATTGGGTATCGATTTTGGCTATTTTGCCGCCATTTTGGTCATAAATAGGGTAACGATTTTTGCACTGTAGTCTTGAATGCACTTTTTTAGAAGAAGCTATTTCCTTATCATGTCCCCCTAACCTAATAAAAGCAGATAAACATTGCCTTTAACATTGGTCTGAACTAGGGAAATAATTATAAGGCAGGTCTGAAACAGGGTATTGATTTAAGGGTCAGGTCATAAATAGGGTATCAAATTTTTGGTTAGGTCATAAATAGGGTAGGGAAAATCGCAGATTTTGGTCATAAATAGGGTAAGGGTTTTGGGAAGCGGGCCGCACACCCCTACCCAATTTTTCTGCGAGTACCCCCCCCGGGGTTTGGAGGCCTACAATTTTTTGTAGGCGAAAAATTCCTTTGTTCCTTGACAACTATCCTTAAGGTGATGTTACACGAGACCATTCGCAGCTACGATTTTTAGCGCAACACAGCGTTACAACATAGTTGCGACATTGTTTCGAATAGGTACAACATTATTCCAACATTGCAACGATGTGTTACGCTGAAAATCGTCGTTGCGAATCGTCCCGTAGTCGGGTCATCTTATTTCAAGAATATGACCAATTAAAGTTCCTTTAATTGACGTTTCTGCTCAGAAGAAAACATTTTACTTGTCTCGGATGCGAAAAAGGTTGCAAAAGCAAAAAATGGTGATTACGAAATTTTCAAACTTTCTCCAACCGCCAAACTCTATTTTTTGTCGTAGTGCGAACAGGGCCTTATCTCCGTAAGAATTAACATCACGTCTTGTGTATATTCACAATTAAACTCGTACCCATAAACGCGCTCACACAAGTACCGCACTTTGAAGAGTAAACGGAGCTCAGAGACCTAACACAAACTTTCAGGCCCCCGAGCCAAATTCCACTAACTAGAAATTCGTTTATCGCAATCCCTCGCTAGGCTGTAAACTGGCAGCTGTACGAATAAACTGAAACCAGCAGAGTTTTGCGTCGTTTTGATGTACATACAAAATGGGACGACGCAAGCATTTCGCGGGCACAAGTTCACGATGCCTGTAAATGTCCTTGCGTCTCACTGGTTTAAACGCAGGCTTCTGTGCTTGTGTTTATTTTTCGCACTTTTGTAGCACGCCCTTACAAGCCTTCTCAGCAATCTTAAAGGTGATGTTACACTGGACGATTGAACGACGATTTAATGAACGAAACAAAGCAGTGCAATGTTGTAACAAGTCTAACAATGTTGCAACAATTCGAAACAATTTCGCAACAAAGTTGCAACGCTATGTTGCATGAAAAATCGTCGTTGCAAATCGCCCCGTGTAACATGACCTTTTAAGGTGAGGTGTTTCGCAACGACGATTTTAAGCGCAACACAATGTTGTAATGTTGGAACAATGATGTAACAATTCGAAACAACGTCGCAACAATGTTGCAACGCTGTGTTGCCCTAAAAATCCTCGTTGTGAATCGTCTCGTGTGACATAACCTTAAGAGCTTGGTGTGTGGTAACCTTACAGATGAAATATTGTTTACTCCTCTGTCCTTCTAATTTTCCTCTGGATCTCAAGACGATTTAATTGAAACAACTAACTTTATTGCCATTGGCTGTAAACATCTCACGGTAGTGTTTTCAAAGTCAACCCGGTTTTCGCAGATCTGTGCTAGCTGAGAGCTGCTTATCAGTAACTTAAATTCAAGACAATTTTAAAACGCAAGACCTTTACTTTTTTTGCCTCAGTTGACGTTTTCCTCAGTGTTTGCAGAAATAGTCCGCGCTCTGAGAGTGTCTATTTGTATATACTTGCCTTTATTGTTGATTTCCCTGACAGGAGTCACAGTTGATGTCACAAAGTCATCAAGCTTCTTTGCGAGGTTTTTAACATCTGTGCCAATTTCTTTTACGTCCGTTCCCACTTCTTTTATAACTGTTCCAAATTCTTTGACGTCGGTGGCAACTTCTTTTACGTCGGTGCCAATTTCTTTCAACTCATCTCTTATGTTATCTTCATCATTTTTCCACTGATCAAGGAGTTCTTTGTAGTGATGCTCCGTACTGGGATCCATACTACAAAATTCCAGTTTGTCAATAGCGACCTTGAAATAGAACGGATAAACATTTTAGAAATCACTGTGTACTAGTGTAGCAGTGTATTCAACAGTTAATCTCTGAGTCAATAGCCCCATTCGGCCTCATGGGCTATTGATTCAGAGGCCATGAGGACGAGCTGAATAATTGTTTTAGTAAAATCCAACTAGTTGGTCAAAACGCTATTCAGCCGCCGATGTTTTGGTTTTCAAAGCCGGCGCTTTTCGCTACTAGTGGGCTATAACATATAGCCTAGTAGTAGCTCAGCCAATCAGAACACAGCACTGCACTAATAATAGACCACTAGTTGGATTTTACCAATAAGTATAATCCCTCCTACGTATTAAAATCAGCATACACATTCTCCACGCTGTTGTCCATACATTTTCTACGGTTCTGATAAGAACAATTTGTATGAAGCTCTGTTTTGACTACCTGTCGATCTTTCTGTTCTATTAAACCATAGTGAAAATGTAAGGCAATAACAATGGTAGGTGACTTTAGCGAATGACTACCTCGTAAGTAACTCCTCCCAGCCTTACTAGAGTGTCTCGGATTTCCTTCCAGTGTGTGTCGAATGTTGCATCATCAACAGAAGCGTGCTCAGCGTGAGCGTACACTGTATTCCTGAAGTACTTGACTCGTACAATGTCTGCTTCACGGCTGAAGTCTGTGTCGGCAGGAAGGGCGTCCCAGCAAGTAGCTGGGGGAGCCAGGCCACAGATGTTTCTTAAAAGAATCATCAGCAAGGTGATATCGAAATCTGTTGAAGCCACTGAAGAAGGGACTCCAGGAAAGAGTTTTCCCCATTGTATAGCATTGATGATCCTACTTGATCTCAGAGACTGCAAAGTGGGTTGACTAGCTGCTAAGAACGTGTGAAGAGATCGCGGGGTGTACATAGCATCAAAGCAATCCCTGAGGGCAAAAGTGCCCACATCGACGAGAAGACGGCATAACCTGGCATAATTAGTTGTTTCTTTTGTAGAGGAAGTTGCAGGTGAAGCAGAAGCCATGGATACAAAGGACTTTTATTAGCTTCTAGTCAATGGAAACAAATGAGTTTTATTAGTTTCTAGTCAACTCAGGAATAGAATGTTATTACAATAACCCCGGTAACTCGAACTCGGCAGGGAAGGGGAAAACAGTTCAAGTAAGCGAGGGTTCGAGTTATTGGGGTAGATTGCAAGATTCAATTTTCTGTGATAAAAATTGATAGTTACTGATTTTTCAGCACTTCAGTGTACAGCGCTACTGCAGTGCAAGTTTAACTTACTTCTCACCAGAAACGGTAACATGATTAGGCATTTTTTTTATGATAAAACGTCAGAGGGGTGATCTGTTCGTTGCACCAATTAAAATCAGATTGCTGAAATTGTTAACCAGTGTTAGATTTAGCCTGTGAAAACAACCGACAATTGGCGACGCTACCACTGGTTTCCCCGCCAAATGACGTCTGAGAAACGAGCACAGAAATTTTATACTGATCAGTAGCGGATCCAGGAGAGGAGCCCAGGGGGGCCGGCCCCCCCTTATTGTTAGGCCAAACTGAGGCCCGAAGGGCCGAAAAATTTTTTTGGAGACCGCTACCCCCCTTATCTAAGGGTCTGGATGACCGCCCTCCCCTCTTATCTCAAGGTCTGGATCCGGCACTGCTGATGACGTTTCACTACCCAGATCTGGGTAGTGCCCCTGATTGGTTGAATCAAATTTCCCACGCGGCACGACCAATCAGAAGCACTACCCAGATCTGGGTAGTGACGCGTTATCAGCATGGAATTTCTGCGCTCGTTTCTCAGACGTCATTTCGCGGGGAAACCAGTGGTGGCGTCGAAAAGTGTCGGCTGTTTTCTCAGGCTATGTTAGATTTAGTTCTGTCACTAATTATACAACAAGAAGAGCCAATGGAATGGCATCCGAGTGGAGTTACAGGAACCAGAATTCGAGTTAACGGGTTATTTTGATCAGGGGAAAGAAAATTTAGTTGAAGTTAGGGAATTCGAGTTATCCGACTGAAAAGTAGCGTAAAAGCCAAGGGAAATTGGACTTGTGATCGGGGTTCTTCTGTATAATATCTTCTTTCAGATTTTTACTTGTTTTTTCCCCAATACGTCCCTCCATAGCATGACCAAGGGATCATCATAGCATAATGTTGCAGGATCCTGCGTACTGCGCGTGCGCGTTCAGTAGACAAAAGAGAGTGTTAAGGTCGGAACACACTAGGCGACAAGTTGCGGCAACACGTTGTGACGACACGCCGCAGCGACAAATCTCTTCGTGTGTACTGGAGAATTTCTGTGAAAATCTTTGTCTCCGCAACAGAATTTTGTCACCGCAACAAGTCGTACAAAATCAAATCAGACTGAATTTGTCGAAAGGGAAGGGGAACGGAATTTCGGCACGCGGTCTCGCTCGCCTGGAATCCCCTTCGCTTTTCCTTTCAAAGGTCTGCCACGCGGGCTAACTGAGTGGTAAATCACAAGACGGGCAAAAAAGGGAAAAAAAGGTGTTCTTTTTCTACTCCGACCTCTCGTGATGTGGCATCAACAGAGTATTTACATCGTTTCCATGACAACTCATCCACAGTAATTGCACATTTTTGACCGGATTGGAGATAAGCCGGGGTCAAAAAAGAGTAGGCGCGACTACAGTATTTATGGAAGGGTACAAGTGCGGATGTAGATCAGGCGATATAGTTAAAACCCGAGCTGACTTTAGGGGGGCGTTATAAGAGGAGGGCTTGAAAGAGAAAGTTTATAGTATCACCGTTTTTAGTTACTACTTTATTCCTTTTTTATCTTCCAATCATACAGGTCGGATAGATTCCAGTATTTTGTGATGGGTTTCGATATGCACACTTGCTCAATATTCACTCGCTCAGTTGGAATTTGCGTTAACAGAGATCGGCTCTTCGGCTCCGACCCGAACTCACTGCACGATATGAAAACGACATGGTTCGTTGCTGAGTTGTACATTCACTCACACATCCGCGTGAGAGAACCCTGGGAACGAGGTTGCTACGCTCACATTCGCTGCCAAAGCATCAACACTCGCGGTCGAATTCCCACTGTTTTCTAGGACGTGTATATACGCGACAAGTATCTCGATGACTGCATCATTATTCACGAGGTTGTCACGTGCGATTCTACTTAATAAAACAGTCTTTAACTCTGATGACTTGATTCTTAAAGTGATACAAGACGCTACGGAGCGTACACTTCGACGTCGTGGTTGTGGAACTAATTAATTGTAAATGCGGAGGAATAGTAAGAAATCAAATATGGTAAGAGTAAGGTGTTAATTTGTGAAATTATGGGATTTGTCAGGATATTCTGAAAAGAGCAACATCCAAGAGGCCTACTTGCCAAAAACTAGCATTTCGGGACAAATTGTCTCCGAGATGTTAGCCCAGTTATGCTCTGATGACTCCACACAAATCCTTCTGAAAAAACAATTCTCTATTTTTCTTAGTCACATCAGGCTTGAAAAACAGCATAGCAGTCTCATGTACTGATTAAAGATATGTAAGGCATGGGTAAGGAGTCAATTACGTTGAGCATGGAATTGGCTAAAACTCAAAGTCATGAGTTCGAATGTTTTGAGGATAATTATTCACTGACTATCAGCACGTAGGGATGTCGGATTAACTCAAGGAAGTTTAACACCAAAGGAACATAGCCTTTACAGAGCTTTAAAACACAGCATCCACCAACACAAACTTGACTTGAACTTTGAGTAAAACTAAACAGCCTCTACCAATCATAACAAACTCTTACTTGAACTTCAGATATCTTACGACTTCCGCGAACTTGTAAACACAATACCTGAAAATCGACCTTCGTCACACTTGACTAAACACAGCAGTCCAGCTCGTGGGAAAAAACTTAGTTCTTCAAAAGAACTCGCTTGGAACTTGTATACCGTTTGACATGAGGTTCTAGAAAATACTAAACAGCAGGCGAATAGTAGTAGCTTTTCGACATACGGTATTTGATGATTTCAGTAACTGATGCAAATCTGCTGACTCATGCTGAAATGTAAACATGCCCTAATTAATTATTCATGGGTAATCCAAAAACGTAGAGAACGTTCGAGAAAGTCACGCAACGCATGAAAGCAATTTTACTACGCAACACTCAAAAAAGAAAAAACGTCTTTTTGCAGCATTGTGTAACTTTAAATTCATCATAAAACAGTTCGAAAGGAGGGCTCACTCGTGAAATGTTTTTCAACACTCAAAGAGAACTTTCGTGTCTCTGCGAGGCCACGAAATATCCTCTATTTATTCCTCGAGTAATTAAAGACTAAACTCGAAGTGATCTCAAGATATCACGAAGTAGTCCGGTCTCATTTCGTGAAATAGTTGAAACAAGCCGAAAAGTCACGAACCTGCACGCCTAATCTTGTCCCGAAACTAGTGCATCATTTCATAACTATTTTTCGTACCCCAAACTACCTTGGGTCGCAATAGCGCAATCGGCTTATCCCTCAACTTAGAGTCTCCTCTGAACTGACGGGTCACACAGGTGAGTCGGTTCAAACCCCGGGAAGGCCAAAATAATAACTCTTTCTTCCTCGAAAAAGTTAAAGAATGAATCAAAGAAATCGAAGTGATCTCGATATATCTCGAATTAATTCGGCTCTCACTTCGTCAAATAGCCGAATAAAACCGAAAACCTACAGACTTTGTATGCCCAATCTTGTCAAAAAATTGTAACTTTGATACATTCCTGAGCGTCGCGAAACCTTTACTTCGCGCTCCGCCGAAGTAGTAGTCAGGTCTCTTAGTGCAAAATATAGGCCGGATCGTTACAGACGTGACAAAAGTGTCAAATTTGGCACAGAGCTTCCTTAGCACCTACCGATTAATACTGGAGGGGGTGCCCGTTACAAATGGTCCTAATTACAGATAAAAGGGGGGTTAACTTTCACCTATAATAGCAGATTGGGTGCCCTGTGGTGAGTACTCTTCTTGTTTGATTTGGCTAAAAAACACTTGTTGCAAATTTTTAAGTTTTTAATTTGGTAATGTTTAGTTGTTGTTACACTATTCAAAATAGTTTTACATGTACATAATACTGACTAGTGCCCAGTCTCCACACGGTAAGTGTGGCCATGTTCATTGTGCGGACTGTGCGGCTATCAGTGTCACTGCTAAGACTTGCCAGTGATATCATTACATATCAATTTAAACAGATCACAAAGCCAGCTTTCAAAGATGTCATACAATAACATAAAACTCAAATGTATCACATCCTAAACGATAGAATCGTTAAAGTTTGACATGCCACATGAACGACCTCATGAACCGTAACTGACAACGCACCCTCTTTGTAATTGTGCAGCTAAGATTAGATTATAATTTGCTTCGTTGGTAACCCTGTCCTTGAGATAATGATTAAAACATGTCAACCTCGTCCACAGGGGGAAAAGGAGGAGCAAGGGTGGCACAGTTGGTTAGTGCGCAGCCTTCGGGGCGAGAGGTCCCGAGTTCGAGCCCGGTATCAACACCTCCTTATTTCAGCTTCTCTCCTTTCTGTGTAGCTTTGACTAGCTTTAAATACCCTTAAAACGGGGAATTAATGGAGAGAGGGGGGTAAAAGGAGCGCACCGTCGACCTCAAGTTTATCACTTATTATTACTGTCACGAGTTATTGACGCAAAATATGGTCGCTTTACCTTTTTCTACCTTTTTATTAAGCCCTGGGGACGAGGTTGTAAAACATGCCTTTCCAGGAATTTTTAACCCTCTTTATTTTTTGCACATTTGCATTTAAAAAGAAGTGTATGAGGTCCCCGCATGCCTATACACCTGTAAGCGGCTCATTCACTTCAGAGCCCTTGGACCAGAGTGTTAATGGTAGGTCTATACGATCTTTCAAAAAAAGGAAGGTCGTCGCGTGCGTTACAATTTACAAACAAACTAACTTCAGAAGAGCTGAAATTTACAGGAACAAGGCCTCTTTTAGCCAACCAATGATGCATCATTTAAGAAAATGAATGTAATTTGTTTGATGCAATTAGGCGAATACCCCGTGGTTACGAAATCTTACGATCATGAGTTCCTCAAGAGCAATTCAGTTACCAACTTTTCACAAAATAATGCTGTGGAAAATTACATAAAATACCAAAAAAGCAGGGGTCAACAATAATTATGGCCTGGTCCCTTATAATAATGGAGTGGTCATGACAAAGAAGCCCATCAGCCCCAACTTTGACCACTCCAACTTTGACATTCGCTTATGCCTATGTTGCCACACCAGGAGCCTAGAAATCGGCTCCTGGTCACACCTTGTTTTTATTGCTGAATATCATTCTAAAGAGCTTTACGAAATATTTTGTTAGTAGGGGTGTTTTGAACATGATTGATATTTAGAGATGGTGACAAAAACGAACACAGAAAAAGTCACAAAACAAGACGCATGAAGCAACCGCAATCTAATATTCGTTTTACACCGATATAATGGCTTCTTTGGCTGCTATGCTGACGTTCTTGGAGATGGCCGGTAGTATCATAGCTAGTCCTGTGTTAGGTATACCGTTTATTACCAGTTTCACGGTTTCTGAGACTTAGGGCCTGTTAACATAAAGGTGGGGGACCCAAGGTAGGTGAGGTAACCTGCTTAGGTGGGGTACAAAAATAACCCTCCTTTACATGCAATCTTACAACCCCGCCATCCTGGGGTGCAGTTTCTCGAGATTATATGAATGGTCGCTAACCATGTAAACAAGAAAAATGCTGGCAAACCACGTCTACGCTCAATTGCTGTTCTTGCTGCAACCTTCAGTGTTGTGGCTTTCTATTGTTACCTTTAATAATTATGTGAAGCCACCCAGCGCCAAAGTGAATTTTGCGCGAATTTGATGTATCTCGAATCCGACCCCGACTAGCCTGGGTTTCCTCACCTTGAAACGTTGACATGGCAAAATTTGACCTCAGCTGAGAGGGTTACCTGGTGTGGTAGACCGGGCTACCCACCTTGAAGGGTGACCCCACCTATCATGTAAACGTGATCAAGTTAAAATGAGAGATTATATGGACAGGCGGGTTACCCCACCTAAGTGGGTTACCATTCCTACCTGGGGTCCCCTTCCTCCATGTAAACAGGCCCTAAAAGTTAGCCCGGTCCCCTTTCTACAGTTTCAGCAGTTAAACTATTCACCATTTATCATTTGAGTCAATCTTGTACCACTTGAGTCTCACTTTTACGACTTGATAAGCTGTTATTATTTTTGGACATGAGTGCTTCAGTGCCAAATGTAGAGGCTTCATGATAAACTGTGCTGTTTTTTGAAGCTTGGGCTAGCTTGTTTCTTTTTTTCGTTGATGAGACCAGATTCTTTTTTGCTTGTTTTTGCTTTGTAAAGCTTAGACAAACTGCGGAAATTGTAAATGATATGACTTGTGCCACGGTGCTTGCTTCTCTGTCAAAACATGCACTTGCGTCCAGCAGATAACTGGATAAAGAGAGACTGAAAGGCATCCAGGCCTATGTTAAGCTGAAAAATTAATTACCTCCCTAGGAAAGAAGTATTTTGGGTTCTGTCATTTCGTTATTTGCTCTTCATGAATAGCTGTCATAAATCGCTGATAATATGTGATACAACAGACTCTTTGACAATTTCTTTTTTCTGAAATTTTGTTTGCCTTCTTCAGCTTAAAGTGACATGTAATGACAAGTAATACTTGATAAATAAGGCTTAAGCCACACAATAAGGCCTCCTCTAATTGAAATACATTAGAAAAGGATAAGAGACCCCAGAAGCTGAGTACTTGCAAGTTATGAAGCAAAGACGAGGCCATCTTAGAAATGACTTATGAAAATGTGGGCGGACTGTGGACTTGCTTTAAGGGCACAGTAATAATCAACTTAATTATACAATCAATAAGCAAAAATGGATGGGAATGCCACATGTTCGAGTGAAATTGTTGTTTACAACCTGAGAATAGAATTCAGAGTGATTTAAGGTATTAAATAACAATTTTCAATCAAAACACCACAGGGACCCCAGTAGGTGAAATTTACAATAATTAAGTCCTGTTTAGGACGCTTCAGTGGCATATTTGCAGTGGGCACCCCCTCTAATATTCATGGTACTGCAATAAGCTATCGCTGTGCAAAGTTTGGTGCTTTTGTCAACTCTGTAACGATCCTGACCCTAAGAGACCTGACTATAATAAGTTATTGATTCTTACTGTGCTACGCGTGCTACCGTGAACACCAGACAAAACTTTTGACATTTTTTGACATATTTTTGACAAGTTTGATGACCGGCGTGATATTGGCGGGAAAATTAAGCGGTGAACCAGCAATTGACTTACTCTGTCGTTTTTCCTTTAGTTCACCTTTTGTGAAATAATATAAGCTTTGTAACTACTATAACACTGATCAAGGAAGGCTCTTAAAACTTCTACAATGCTACACGCTCGGGTTACAAATGTTTGTAAGTAGAGTTTGTACCGTTTTTTTGCGTTTGCTATAAATAGATGAAACCATTACGGCAAGTGTCTCTTAACAAAAGATATGTTTACTATTTTACGCCAGCTACTGTTCAACTGAGATTGAATAGGTACGGTGGATGTTTTGGTAATGGCAGGCCTCTTCCTGAGATGCAAAGGGAACGAGTATTGGACCTTTATCATGATGGATTCGGTCACCGCCAAATCGCACGGGAAGTTCGTTCGAGTCCTGGCTTTGTGCAGAAAGTGATAGATCGATACAATGAACAAAATACATCCCTTAGAGCCGCAAGAGTTGACTATCCTAGCCCAAAAATTGATGAAGCAGCCTTAGAATATATAGAAGTACAGAAAGTAAGAAAACCAAGCATTTACTCGAGCGAAATACAACAGAGACTTTTATTGGATGGTGTTGTCCATCCCGCTAATTTACCTAGCGTATCACAGATCAATAAAGTCATCCGCAAAGATCTTGTGATGACAAGAAAGAAAATTACTGCCATTCCACTTGAATCCACAACCCCTGAGACAACAGCGGCAATTGATGATTTTCTCACCGAAATAGCTGACATCAATCCAACGACCCTGCACTTCTTTGATGAATCCAGTGTAATCAAAACTACAGGAAACAGAAAATATGGGAGTGCTCCACTAGGAGAGCCTGGTTTTGAAATACAGCGTTACGCGTCTAATGCAAATTTTACTATAAATCTGTTGCACTCATTTTGCGGCGTGGACTTTTATAATATACTGGAAGGCCCGTGTAATGGGTTAGAAATGCTTAATTTCTTTGACGAAGTTCTTCAAGAGCAGCGAGCTGATGGAAGTGCAGTGCTTGAGCGCGGAGATTGAGATATGTCCAGAAATGCACGCATTGGCGAAAATGGCAGAAATGGCAATTAATCGCCAAAATCGCCAAACTATAAACAAAAATTCAAATGAGATGGCAAAGGGGCCCTTTGCAAAGTGGCGATCTCGGCGAAAATGGCGTATTTGGCGAAAATGGCAGAAATGGCAATTAATCGCCAAAATCGCCAAACTATAAACAAAAATTCAAATGAGATGGCAAAGGGGCCCTTTGCAAAGTGGATTTTCGCGAAAATGGCGTGTTGGCGAAAATGGCAGAAATGGCAATTAATCGCCAAAATCGCCAAACTGTAAACAGAAATTCAAATGAGATGGCAAAGGGTCCTTTGCAAAGTGGCAATTTCGCGAAAATGGCGTATTTGGCGAAAATGGCAGAAATGGCAATTAATCGCCAAAATCGCCAAACTATAAACAAAAATTCAAATGAGATGGCAAAGGGCCCTTTGCAAAGTGGCGATTTCGCGAAAATGGCGTATTTGGCGAAAAATGGCAGAAATGGCAATTAATCGCCAAAATCACCAAACTATAAACAAAAATTCAAATGAGATGGCAAAGGGGCCCTTTGCAAAGTGGCGATTTCGCGAAAATGGCGTGTTTGGCGAAAATGGCAGAAATGGCAATTAATCGCCAAAATCGCCAAACTATAAACAAAAATTCAAATGAGATGGCAAAGGGGCCCTTTGCAAAGTGGCGATTTCGCGAAAATGGCGATTTGGCGAAAATGACAGAAATGGCAATTAATCGCCAAAATCGCCAAACTGTAAACAAAAATTCAAATGAGATGGCAAAGGGGCCCTTTGGAAAGTGGCGATTTCGGCGAAAATGGCGATTTGGCGAAAATGGCAGAAATGGCAATTAATTACCAAATCGCCAAACTGTCAACAAAAATTCAAATGAGATGGCAAAGGGCCCTTTGCAAAGTGGCGATTTCAGCGAAAATGGCGTATGTGGCGAAAATGGCAGAAATGGCAATTAATCGCCAAAATCGCCAAACTGTAAACAAAAATTCAAATGAGATGGCAAAGGGGCCCTTTGGAAAGTGGCGATTTCGGCGAAAATGGCGTATTTGGCGAAAATGGCAGAAATGGCGCTTAATCGCCAAAATCGCCAAACTGTAAACAAAAATTCAAATGAGATGGCAAAGGGGCCCTTTGGAAAGTGAGGATTTTGGCGAAAATGGCGTGCACTAATTCTGTATCTTTTCATCAACCACAAATAAAAAAAAAATATAGAGTGCATGTTGGCCTCGTTCTTAAAACGTGTTTTGGCAGAAATGGCAATTACTCGATGAAATACCCAATTTGTCAAGACAAATTGAAATGACATAGCAAAGGGTCCCTTTTGAAAATATGGCTATTAATTGCCAAATAGTTAACCACATATTAATATAAAAATGTTTCCAATAGTATAATTGTATACTAATAATGACACTAAGTGTCATTAATCTGTTTTTAATGCTTTTACCTTTAATTGATAACCTCTTGTGATTTGAAATTCGTCCCACACAAGAGTGTTCGGTCGGGAATTACCACTTATAACTAATTTCTTGCTCAATTCAAATCGAATGGCCAACGAGTTGTATTCAATTATCAGTAAATGGTAATCTTCGTAATGTTCATGGCAACTTTCTTACCAAAAAACCCAAGATAGGTATCCTTAATTTTCCAGGCTTGTAGGCATTGTTTGAATAGCGACAGTTCAACATTATATGTTATGAGGAATCCAGGTTGGTATCTTGGCTACGCATTCAGATAATTAGATGGTCCGTATTGCCTTGTATATCCATCCTGTTTGTTATAATGGCGTTCAATCGTACAAGTATATATAAACGAGCTGGTTCATTGCAGTTTCACAGAACATGAACGTATAAGGTTTAGTAGTTGTTATACAGACGCGGCGACCATGTTGAAATAGTCGATTTTGGATAACTACTCTATGTAAGTAGAAACGATTAGTGTCATTCCCAGCCGACTTTGGTGGTCACTCTATGTTTATAGCTCCTCTATGTAAGCAAAACGATTAATGTCGTTCACAGGGACTCTCAGGCAATCGTTAAAATAGAAGGTAAAAAGGCCGGGTGACGTGTTTCGACGAGCATTAGCATTAGCAATTTAATGGAAACATATTGTATTGAGAATTGGTTTGGTGGTCTCAGCGCAAAAAAACAATACATTTTCTAAATTTCTGGCCCCACCTCCTAAAGCAATAATGGGACACATTTTTGAAGAACGAGACAAACATGTACACTCTCTTTTTATATATCTAGTTGATGAAAAGATACAGAATTAGTTTGAATGGGATATGTTTTATGAAAGAGACAAACAAGTTATTGCTTTGATCCAATGTTTATGTTCAATAAATGCGGTGAAGTGTTGGGCACAAGTTACATTTCGTGCAGGTTTACATAGAGTGGAAATAAGCGAAATCACACATTTCAAAATGGCGCACGCAAGCTGCTGGACATTTCGGCTTTCGTTACTTTTAGGGGACCGTTTCTCTAAAGAGCAAAGCAAGTAAGTGCGAGAAGAAAGTGAAGAGTTTAAAACGACGGAAGAAGATAATGTGTATAGTGGAGAACCAAAAAAGAATGAAGGGCACACGCTAGCTGGTTATCGTGAAAGCATCTTTTAGCCAGGAACCATGCGTTTCGCAATCGCTTTTGATTTAAGGCTGCCTCACAATTTAATGGAACCAATGTGAAGAGAATTGTAACCAGTGAGGATTGTTAAGGTCTACATCGAACCTCAAAAGTTAGAGTGTCCATGGCAAGGAATTATTATGATTTCAAGGACTTGGTAGTTCTCTCCTCGAGTAATTAGTGGACTTGTAAGTCTTTGAAAGGAAATGAACCATACAAAAGCAAATGATGCTAGTGTGATATTTCAGCGCATCACATCACTTTTGGTAAGTCAAGCGACTTACTTAACCTGTGAAGTACATGGCACAAATACATATTAGCTTAACTGAAACGACTTGCATTTGTTGTTTTCAGATATATTTGATTCAGTTTTATTTGATAAAATAATGTTGTTTGACAGTTAGGTAAAGCTGTTTTGTCATATATTTGATTCAGTTGTATTTGATAAATGTTGCCTCACAGTTATTGGGGCCTCTTATTAGGCAAGTAATTTGAACTTTTTTTTAGTACTGTTGCCTCACAGTTATAAGGACCTCTTTAGTTATCTCCTTTGAAGGGGCCACTTTTGGCATCCAATTTGAATATTTTGCCACATATCGCCAGCCCTCAGGCGATTTTTGCCAAAATTGCCAACTTCGCCAAAATCGCCAGCCTCCAAGGGGCCACTTTTGGCATCCAATTCAAATCGCCAGAGGCTGGTGATTTTTCGCCAGTTTCGCCATTTTTGCCATTGCATGCATGGCGATTTTTGCCAAAATTGCCAATTTCGCCAAAATCGCCATTTTCGCCAAAATCGCCAGCCTCCAAGGGGCCACTTTTGGCATCCAATTCAAATCGCCAGAGGCTGGTGATTTTTCGCCAGTTTCACCATTGCATGCATGGCGATTTTTGCCAAAATTGCCAATTTCGCCAAAATCGCCATTTTCGCCAAAATCGCCAGCCTCCAAGGGGCCACTTTTGGCATCCAATTCAAATTGCCAGAGGCTGGTGATTTTTCGCCATTTTCGCCATGGCATGCATGGCAATTTTTGCCAAAATCGCCAATTTCGCCAAAATCGCCATTTTTGCCAAAATCGCCAGCCTCCAAGGGGCCACTTTTGGCATCCAATTCAAATCGCCAGCGGCTGGCGATTTTTCGCCATTTTCGCCATTGCATGCATTTCTGGACATAAGTGCGGAGATTGCGTGATCATGGATAATTGTGGCTTTCACCACGGCCATCGTGTTGAACCAGTGCTCAAGGCCAAGTTAGCGGATTGCGGTGTAAGACTATTATTTCAGCCACCTTACTCACCGCATTTTAATACTTGCGAATATTGCTTTAATGCAATAAAAGCTTTTTTATGCCGCCACAACATGCTAGCTGTCAATGAAACAAAAATCGCAATAGCACAGGCGATCCTCAACATCACCGCGGATAACTCTGATGCGTATTTCAAGCACTGTGGATATTTTTAAGTTAGGAGTTGGTAATTACAAAGTCCAGTAAACTGAAGTTAAAAAATGTACGTAATGCCTTTGAACACAACTTACATATTTTAAGCGAAATCAATTCGTTATTTGTTGAACACTGTTGAATGTTGGCATTGTTGAACAGACCGCCGAAGCAGGGCAGAAAGTACATAACTCAAACTAATCGCCATTAATTTCTTACTGAAAAAAACATCTGAAACGGAACAAATGACTCTTACAGTCTCAACGCTACATGATACCGAGAATAAAAAAACGTCTTCTAACCTTCTAACCAACAAATTAACATGATTAGAAATCTCAGAAGAAGCTAATAAACGTACAACATGCTTCATTCAAATAAGTTTACACTTTGTTTTGTTTGCATTCTACATGAGTTACTTTTATAAAAATGAAAAGGGAATATGAAAAACGCAACACAAAAGATGAAAAATGTCATAGAATGCTTGGAATAGTAGTTCATTCGTTCAAATAAATGTTTACATTCGAGTTCTCGTACTGTTCTATAATCAGCGGAAGTCTCCAATCTTCATCTTCGGACCAATCGGGAACCTTTTTTATCGCTCTTTGTAAAATTATAAGATCTCTGTCCAACCGACTTCTGTTTGAGTATTTAACTTGGTTTTGCTTTTTCAATGTAGGTCTCATTACGTAGAAAAACGAAGACTTTGCGCGCTCACGTGCAGCTGTAAAACCTTTGAGGTGGGCTTCCTCTTCTTGGGCCTTGTTTTCAAGAGATCTTATCTCCCGCTGAAGTTGGCTAATTTTAGCTTTGTGCTCGGGGTGCTTTTCCTTTATTTTACATGCGTTTATGTTCGTGCAAGGAGCTTTTGAACACTTTTGTATGCCCACAGAAATGACAGTTGTTACACAGCCGGCCTCGAATTTCACTTAGAGACTGAAAGTGCCTGGATTCACAGTTCAATTTCTCCAATTCGTCTTTGGCGCTAGCAACTTGTACTTTCAAAATCTGCACATTTTCTTCAATTTCCTGTCGCTGGAAGTCCAAAGGACTTTTTTCAGCGCGGTTGCTTGTTGTTGCTGCGGGACGCACGGCGTCTGGTGTGAAAGACAAATGCTTCGGTGGCAGCGACTCGTTGTCAGCGTTGTCAGCTTCCGAACTCGGCATTCCCAGGTCGGTTCGTCTCATTTTACGGGGTAGCGGTGAATCTATTTCACTTGCTTGTAGAAATATTTTGTTATAATCCCGTTCTTTTACTTCTTTGGCACTCCTCAACATTTCTCCAAACGAACATCCACTTGAATCGTCCCATAAATTGATCATATCACCGTCTTCGTCTCGATAACGTACACGAATGTTTGAAGAAGGTAAGTGCGCGAGTGGCGAGCAGTTGCGTTTTATCTCCTGCATAAGCTTCGCGAAAGTGATATCCTTGATTAAGAAAGTGCAAAACCTTTCTTCTCCGTATTTTACCTTCACCTGATAAGCCGCCATGCTGTTTACTGAAAACTCTCTCTTCGGTAGCGCCGGGATCAACTTGTTGTTCGGCCGCGCCTTGTTACAAGATTTTCTTCGCTGTGATTGGCCACTTGCCCGACATCAGACATCCCAACTTGTCAAAAATATGTCAAAAAAATGTCAAAAGTTTTGTCTGGTGTTCACGGGAGCGCGCGTAGCAGAGTAAAAGTAAAGAGCCTTTACTTAAGGCACTAGTTACAAAACTAAAGAGGTCTTCATACATTCATGTTACTATTTTAATATTACTGCGAAAAGCCAGTACAAACTGTGTGACTGCACATCTCATGCAGACCTGAAAGTATTGGACTTTGCCCCTTTCGTGGTTCTTACGAGAGGGAATTCCAATAGACCTTTTTAGCTTGTACGCTTTTTTTCCAATACAGGTCATGTGATAACACTTTAGAGAACCGTTTCTTTCAAATTTCGTCTTATTCACGTGCATATCCACGCATAATTTATGAAAAGACAATAGTTCAAGTTCCCTTGGGACTTCTTTTGAGAAAACAAAAAATACAAGCTAAAGAGGTTTATTATCACAGTAATCCAGTAAGCAGGATTATAAAAATAACTCATGTACACAATTTGCACGTTAAGATGTTGGACTTTGTGCCTTTTACAATTCGTACGTAAAGAGCACAAATTGTTTCCTAGAAAATTTGCTGAAACGATTTTAAGAAATCGCCTCTGCTTCACAACATCTGCGATTAAATTATACTTCATGCAACGTTAAGGTTGATAGCCAAACATTTATTTTCTTCCAAACCAATTTAATCCTGTAAACAAGCTTTATTCTCTCGCTTACAAAGCTCAACAGTCCTTTTTCGTACCGGCAAAAAAAAACATGAATTAGGTGAGGAACATGATACATGCTTGCTGCTTAAGTGTTATTGTAGTTATGGAAATGTATTTTATTTTATTAGTACAGATGCGTAACTTAAGGTGGCTCGATACAGTTTTTTAGGGTCAATACTTCCCAAGATTGAGCATAAACTACGTCGCCATAAACAAAGATTTGGAAAATTGCCACCACAGTAGATCAAAATTTGTTATGATCAGGGTTCCAATGACATCGGAGTTGTCATAGTAACGAAATGACGCTATTACCTATTTTACTTGCAGCAGTATTTCTCGTCACTGCGAATTATTTTATTTTGTTACATTTTTCTCTTCTGACGTGATGGAACTCACGTTTCTTTAGCGGAAAGCTAATCAAGCGTGAAGCATGCATTTATAAGCAAATATTTCTCGCGTCATTTCACACTTGAGGATCTTTGTCACCGTTGTGAAGATGTTCCATGAACACACATTATTTACTTTATCCAAGCTTTAGAAAATACGGGGAAAAGGAGGCTTCAATTTTTAATACACAAAAGTTGGCGGACCGAGAAAGTAATTGGCAAAAAGTCTCAGTCTGGATTGTTAGCTCTTCTTTCCTTTTTATTTGGGCGTGGCCCAAATAAAGTAATCGAAACGGCTTGTTTCGACGCAAATGTGCAATATGCGAACGTCTTATACAAGGTAAGAGGCATGTGGGAAAGAAAGCTCTGCTAGCACGGCACTTTATCACACCTTTACGATGTCAAAAGTTAATCTGAATCTTCAGTATTTTTACCTCATCGAAATTTGGAAGTCTGAAGTCCAGGGATGAAATCTATAAAAAATATATGGAATATTAACGTCAGGTTTTGGTCACAATAAGGTTACAAGCAACGAACCTTGAAACACAGAAACTCACAAAACGGATCGAAATCCACCAATCTTTTGAACCTGTTGAAGTAAACTTTTGTTTCCTAACAGGTCCGCTAAAATGATTGGCGTCTGACATTTTTTTGACGAGAGGATCGAAATGCACCAGTCATAGAAAGACAGTTTTAATTGCATGTTTCAAATGCACATACTGTTCGCGGTAGGCCCACACTAACAAATGACACTGAGCGTTTTCGGAATGGGCTGGTGCGCGAACTTAAAGAAAAACAAACGAGAGGCCGCGGTTACGCTTTCGCTGGCTAATATTCCGCTGTAGGGGCGGCAATATTTGAACAGACTGCGAAGGCATTTCAAATCTCTTATACTTTCTTTAACCAAGACAAGAATTTTAAAAAAGGGAGACAATTTTAGCTTCCCACTCGGACGTTCTTTGCCTCGTCACTCAGGGGGAAGGAACGCGTGACGAAGCCCTAAGCCTGGCAGGGATGTAATTTTGGCGCAGCATGCCAGTTTGTCACGAAAGACGGCAAACCAATGTACCCTCATTATGGGGTTCTTGTACAATCCTGGATTGCTGTGTGATGACTTGAATTCCCTCGCGTACGAACCATGAAAGGGGCAAAGACTAACTCCTTCACGTGCAAACTGCGTGACTGCATATCTTATGCAGACTGGCTTTTTACAGTAATAATTGTAAGTTGAATGTATGAAGACATCTTTAGTTTTGTAAATAGTACCTTAAGCGAAGGCTCTTTTTTTTAAGAATCAATAACTTATATCACTTTTACAATCAAGTCGTCAGAGTTAAAGCCTGTTTCATGGAGTAGAATCGCATGTGACAACCTCGTGAATAATGATGATACAACCATCTACAAAAATGACGAAAATCGGGGTATTTCTTAGCTATTTGGTATTCGACAAGCTTCATTATCTTAAGTTTCCATGAAGAAACCTTGAAACCTTCGAGTCTTTCCTCTAAGCAACGTTTGGTGAGTTGATGTTCATAAGACTTAAACAATTTGTTTATTTTGCAGGAAAAGACAAACAAACGTGAATCTATAGTATGAAGATCGACCCAGTTGTGCGCAGCGGTTCGCTTTTTCAGTAATGTACAGCAATACCCAATTTCGCGCAAAAAGTCTTAATTTAGGATTAAAATAGTAGATTGTTGATACGGTTACACTGAAGCATTCAAAATAGCTCATGTACTTTAAACGTGCCTATGTTTCTTACTGTTAGTACACCCAAAGCTTAAACGTCAATAAAACGGCTTCCAAATGGCTCTAGGGGCGAAGAGACAGTAAAAAACAAAACAAAAACACAAGGTAAGTCATTTTTATTTCTATCTTTATCAAAAAATGGAATTTAGGACGTATTTTGTTTATTTTCATACATTCTCTTCTAAATTCAAAGTGCAACGAACTCCCACAGAGTTTGGGCCGCCTGTGGTGCCCGCTTTCGCCGTCAGTGTCGGTGAAAAGTTTATTACTATTATTATTATTATTATTTGGGCGCCTAAATAGAGTAATTGAGTTTGCTTCTTTTGATTGAAAGTTACAATTGGCACGCAATACGTGCGAACGTAAAGAAGCCAAGTAAACAAGCAGCTGCGCGCTGTGTCACAACACAGCATTTATCTTCGTCACATACGAACCACAGATAACGCCCGGCAAACAAATCGGCAATAGAAAACAAACTTTTTGGAAAACCAAGGTACACTGAGTGAAACAAACTATAAAATAATTTTAAGTTTCCCTTTGGAAAATAATTGTCCTTGCAGCACACGGTGTGAATGGTTTGGCTTATTACCAAGAGTTTAACAATATTTTGCTCTCAGTTGTCGAGCGCCAAAGAAGATGTCACACAAAATTCAACTTCAAAGTTCGCAATATGTACACCTTTAAGCTCATATATATCCTCATTCCCATATAGACTCTGAAAATATTGTACTAATTTATGCATGGATTTGATTTCCAACAATACACATGTCCCTTCACTATGACTGTTACCATACATATCGCTAGCATGAGAATCAAATACTTTATACCCCCCTCCCTCAATGCTGTAGATAGCAACACGAATAATTCCCACCGTTAAAATGAATCAGTGGCAGTTCAGAGTCAAGAGAGTTTCAGATGCTGACCCAGTGGCATATACAGTAATGATACCCCTCAGTTCTAGCATCATCATGCATGTTACAAGTCTACCTTTCACTGTATTCAAGCTGGAAAAATCACTCAAACATTATAACCATTCCTAACAATTCTGTTAACATTAACATAGATTGTCTTGCAAGCACTGACAGACTAGAATATATTTAGTTACCAACAATCACTATCATACCAACTGAAGTAATCCTTCTTATCTCACTGTAAATTAAAGCGTACAGACTCATTGCAACACATTGTTGTCCAGCATTTTCCCCAGATATCTTTATACTAGGCTGTTAAGTAAGTCTTAAGAGCTGCTAAGTTTTACTTAACCAAAAATGCGTGTGTGAAGGCCTAAGTAAAATCTCAAGTAACTTTACTTTGCATTTCATTAAAGTCGGAAAGTTGAAACAATTCGAGAAAGTTTCAAGTGACTTGAAAACCATCCTTAAAATCGACTTAGCGAACCTTTGAGAAAGGTGACGCATGTCAATCAATCTTAATTATGTTGCGTGGGAAAATAGGCTTAAGTAAACGTGAAGTAAAAAAGATAGGTTGTGTGTGAAGCTTTCTTTTACTTGAAAAATATAAAATTTACTTGTCTTGAAATATTTCTTAGCTTATTTAGGCTCTAGTGTAAAGACTACCATTGCAACGTTTCCTTGACAGTATGGAGCATGAATTGTTTTTGTAGCATCTACATAAACTGAAGGTCCTTCTCGATATCAGTACAAGGCCAAAATTAACGCGGTGATTCAACTTAGACGACAGATACACCTTCCCTTGTTTACGAACTAATTTTGGAGTTGCCCTTCAAGTAAAAACCTCACACTGTTACAGTTACTTCTATACCTGTTTATAACAATGAATTTTAGACGACAATGGTGATTTTTCCGAATAGAGTGTTTTCACTCACGTGGTCAGCATCTATGCAAATATATTGGAAGAAAAGAGGGCGTTTGCATAAGAAAAGAGTTAAACTCCCACAGGATTTGTTTGGGACACCAACATGGCCGCCGTTTCATTGTCTTGGGACACCAATATGGCCGCCGTGACGTCATGTGAAAACACTCTATACCCTTCCATGCAAAAACTCTCACGTGTTTTCTGTAACATAGGTTTCATTTTCTTCATCGGCAGTCTGCTATTGACCACTCCAGAAATACCATAACATACCATAATGCTCTTTGTTTATCACCCCAAAATTTTGCATAAGCATTGTTTTCAGTTTCTCTTGGGGCCATTTTAACTCCCAAGAGAAACTGAAGACAATGCTTATGCAAAATTTTGGGGTGACAAACAAAGAGCATTATGGTATGTTATGGTATTTCTGGAGTGGTCAATTCGCACGACTGCATCGAGAGAATTGACTAACCCTATTTAAACCAACGGAATTGTAAGTTCTGTAATTAATAAATTTCCCATGCATGACGAGATCTTTTACTCCCTCTACAACACAATTCTGCTTCTGTACAATTGAGTCTATAATTGGTGCATTTCGATCATCTCGTCAAAAAAATGTCAGACGCCAATCATCTTAGCGGACCTCTTAGGAAACACCAGTTTATTTCAACGGGTTCAAAAGGTCATGGTTTCTGATTGGTGGATTTCGATCCGTTTTGTGAGTTTCTGTGTTTCAAGGTTCGTTGCTTGTGATCGTAATGACGATTAACAGCAGCGAAAAACGTAACTGTGAAGGCGGCTGTTGAGCTTCAGAGTTCGCGTGTTTTTGAAAAGCCCAATGACCTGCACCAAAAGAGTACATACTGCAATAGTTTACCCAGCAATACCATCAACGTGATAACACACATTGTTTGAATCATAAATCTTATCTCCACTTTACCCACAACGTGACTTTTACACTCACGAGTAAACACGCACGTGAGTCGTAGTTACTAAAACATGGAACGACCTAAAACCACCTAAAACCATCTACAACCACCTAAAACCACCTACAACCACCTCAAAAAATTCAACAACCACCTACAACCATCTACAACCACCTCAAAAACATCTACAACCACTCGCAAACAATCTAAAACCATCTAAAACAAGGTATAAATGTCTGAAATGAGGCGAGACGACAACATGTCACGAACATGAAATACGAGAATCGAACAAAACATCCACTTCCCCCTAAAATCTTACTCTCCCTGGTCCCTTGTATCATCAACCATTGGCTTAAGTCACGAAATGAAATGCGAGATCATGCTAAGTATATTAAAAGACTTAAAGAACTTTACAAAATGAACTATCAAGTCACAAAAAATAATAAAATAAAATAACTGACTTGATTTGGCTTTTTCTACCCTGGGTACCAGTGAGACGTTTTGGTTCACGTTTCATTTGTTTACGCAATATTTATTTATTTCAGACATTTATACCTTGTTTTAGATGGTTTTAGATTGTTTACGAGTGGTTGTAGATGTTTTTGAGGTGGTTGTAGATGGTTGTAGGTGATTGTTGAATTTTTCGAGGTGGTTGTAGGTGGTTTTAGGTGGTTGTAGATGGTTTTAGGTCGTTCCATGTTTTAGTAACTACGGCACGTGAGTCTATTCAAACCTCTAGTACCGACCAAGCATAAGCGAATAAGCCAATTCCTTTTACGTTTATTCACCAAATCCTAAATTTCCAAATTTCGATGAGGTAAAAATACTTCAGATTAACTTTGAGTGCGATAAAGTGCCGTGGTAGCAGGGCTTTCTTTCCCATATACCTCTTACCTTGTACAAAACGTTCGCATGGCAATCATTCGCCTCGCTTGGCTTGTTTACTTGCCTTGTATACGTTAGCACGTATTGCGTGCCTATTGCACTTTTGCGTCAAAACAAGCCGTTTCAATTACTCCATTTGGGCCACGCCCAAATAATAATTCTTTCTTCCTGGAATAAGTTAAAGAATAAATCAAAGAAATCGAAGTGATCTCGAGATATCTCGAACTAATTCGGCTCTCACTTCGTCAAATAGCCGAATAAAAACCGAAAACCTAAAGACTTTGCGTGCCCAACCTTGTATCAAAAATGTCAACTTTGATACATTCCTGAGCGTCGCGAATCCTTTAATTCGCGCTCCGCCGAAGTAAAAACTTCACACACGCCTAGTACATCGACGCGCTAATATACGCTACCACAGCGTCTTGTTATCAAGAAGAAAAGGGGAGATCCATCCAGCTCTGAAGGCAACTGACGATGGCCTCGGCCAAGTTGGACATTTGCAACGTGAACTGGTTCCTGTGAATTTATCGATTTTGAACCACTTAACGTGATTCCTTAGTAAAAGAACCTAACATAGACTGTAGATGAAACTTCGTACACTGATGTAACAAGTCAAGAAGATGATAAAAAAGTAATAAAAAGTGGGGGTCACCGTACTAGTTTTGACGTCACAATGCTGACAATACGGCTATTTGGAACCCTTTTACAAAGAACTCGGGCAGCTCAAAACTAAACAGAAAGGAGATATTTTCGTGATCGCACAGAATTTGACTTTAATGTATTGTTTATCCACTTACGTACCAGAAAAATGCCTTTTAATGCCCTTGTTTTTTTAAAGTAGAATTGAATTGGACACGCGCTATTCGACCCGTGATAGCTCAATCCGTACAATTTAGTAAAACTGCCAAAAAACTGAACATAGATTTGTGCCAATTTTTTTTCTCATCGAAAGGAAGCACTGTCCTTATTAAAATCATGAAATAAAAAATGGGGTTACCGTTCTCGTTTTTGCGGTAGAGCGGCAGAAAGTGCTCACCAAATGCATTTTCTCCGATTTTTGAGAGAGGACTGGGGCGAGTTTCAAAATAGAATGTATGTGAATGGGGAAGAGAGTATTAAAAAATCCGTTTTTAGAGAATTTACATCGAGATATCACATTTAGGACACAATGTGATAAAGAAAGCGTTTAAATGAAAATCAAAGTGAGTAAGCACAAGTTAAACATCCACTATCGAGGTTCTCCGAGAGGAAGTCGAACTCAGCAACACGCATCCTGCTTACGTTATGCACATTCCCAACACATTGAGTCTCACCTCAGCAAGAAACAACAGCAAGCAAAAATTCTAATAGCGTTTTTCTTCAGTCAACTTCATTTTAATAATATTACTTCACATGCTCTTTTTTACGGCGGCCATCTTGTTATGCGCAGCAAGAGATGCGCAGTGCAAAACCAGGGAATCATCTTAAGGTGGCGCGACCCAGTATTTTCGTAAGTACACTTTCCATCTTTGAATATCTTAGACTTGAACAAATTTATCTTTATTGCAAAAACCATTCTAACACAGTATTACACATAAACTAAACTTTTTTATGATATGTTTTGGCCGATCGGAATGAAGGTCAATAAATATCACGTGACAATGACATCACTATAGTTTAAGCTCTAAATAGAATTGGAGCCCTTAACGGCATTTTCTTCAGAAATTCATGACGCTACCTATACTCTGGGTGCTTGTCTTCTGTTATGCGAAGTTTCACAAAAATCTATTCGAGGAATTTCGAGATATCTTGGAATTTCTACAAAAAGGGTACAAATTACGCATGAACTAAAGGCAGGACTGAATGCAGACAAGCTTGCTACTTTTTCGATGTTTCCAGAGTGTCTTTATTACTCATTCTGTTAGTAATTGACCCTCATACACTCTACAACTGGCTAAACACAAGTAGACTTGCGCAATTTCGAAAAAACCGAAACATGTTAATCAGGGTGAAACGCAATTCTGAGGGCTCTTTTTGTAATTTCAAAGGTTAGTTTGACGAAAACAGCGATTAAACCAAACTTCGTCATTGGATTTTCTTTAAAAAATTTCATTGCTGCAATTGATCAGTGTACTATAAAACCCGCGAAATTCTCGTCCATTGAAACCTTTGTAGGTTGTTCAGGAATTTCGTTTCGGACCGGACGCCGGACGCAACGTCCGGTTGTTTGGCATATAACGTCCGGTAGCGGTTCACAAACAAAATAATAATTTTTTTAAGTGTGAAAGTTTCCATTTATTAACCAAAGAAAGACTTGACCCTTATTTTACTCACTTTGTTATGCAATGCATACAAAGGAAAAAAAAAAGAGATAACTCCTGTCATACACATACAGTAATTATAATTCCCAAATCAATCAAATATTTATTTTTTGTGAGCATTTGTTAACGCCTTAAAAGACCTTCCCGGTTACCCAATTCCGGTCCAGGGAACGCAGGAAATTGCACTTTAGAGAGTCCAGCTGAACCACTGGATCCGGTACTTCCAAATGCTACCGAAAACCCTGGTTGTCTAACGTAGGCGCAAATTTGAGTAAATATTGAAGCGATATCGGAGTTGTTGAAAAGTTTTTACTTTGGGATTTCCTATCGTCTCGAGTTTAGTATAAGATCAAATTCACACGCAGCACGCGAGCATTTACCGCGCTTAGTTGCCCTCTAAAATCTTTCCGTAATATGGTAATGTTGTAGAAAGAGAGAAAAAAATAGTAAATAGATTACATTAACTGCAAAAACCGTGAACTACGCCGGGGCAACCAAGCGCGGTGAATTCTCGCGTGCTGCATGGGAATTTGTAGCCTCCGCACGCAGACGTTCTTGGGGGTTCGTCTTGCGTTCCTGCCTAACCTGAGATCAGGCGTTATTTTTTTTTCTGTTTCTTTGCTTCTTTGGCTCGAGAGGGAAAAAAATAGCGCCTGATACATTCATTTAACAAGCCATCAACCGCCCCCTAATTTACATAATCTAACGTCTACTTGAGCTGTCATGTTATTAGCCAATCAGCGTTTACGACACGGGAATCAAATTTTGGCGGGAATAATGTCTCTTTCGACATCAATTTTAAGGAAAACAAAATTTTTAAGTACGTTCAGATGACGCTTACTAAAAAAAAAATTTTAAATGTTTCTTTTTTGTGATGAAATACTGCTAACTGGAGCTGCCGTACCTTTATTTAACATCTACAAATAATAAAGGATTTACTGGTAAAAGGGTAAAAGCTCGTTGACTTTGTCCTGTGCCGAAAGCAATGAAAAGTGTTGTGAAAGCGAAGATCGCTCAGAATAATTCTCAGGTTTCTGAAGGAGAAATTACAGTCAAACCAGGTCAAGGTTCCATTCATGAATTGATTATTTGAATAGAGAACCCGTTTGTCGCTTCTGTAACTTGTAGCCGGTATCAAATTGCATTCAAATGATCGGTGAATTCTTGACTGCAATGTTTAGCATACGATGAAATGGAAAATATTTCAATGAATGAAATTTCTGTTTAGACACTCTTCGAATTCAAGAAAACTGAGTTGGCCGGAAATTTCATAACGACCTCGCGTGTGTATTCACTGCTCATTACGCAAGCAAAAATGCAGACTGAAATCAACAACAACTAACGGATGGCGGCGTTTTGGCCAATCGGAACAGCGCAAATCATCCGAATTGTTTCCTATCCAATCAGAAAAAAGTCCAGATTCTGGCTTTTTTTGCATGTGATCTGTGAAAGAAATGTATCATGCCCTCCTCCCGAAAACAGATTACAGAGACAAAGGGAGAGAGCATGATCGCAGGCTAGTTCCTGCCCCACTAATCGCGTCGATTGAGTTCGATTGGTTCGATTGAGGTTCGGTAATCTAACTCACCGAAAAGTTCCAGTTCGATTATGTTCGATTACCGAACCAATCGAAATGTTTTCGATTGAGCTCGATTGAGTTTTGGTTCGGTTTCTTTCGATTGACTATGCCGGGGATGAATAAAATAAATGTATCCTCAGAACTTAGACATATACAATATTTCCTTCTATTTTGCTGCAATTTACGAAAGAAAGATAACAAATCCGCCATTCTATAATAATTTGTTTCTCGTGAGCTAGTAGACGCGACGGATCACACCGTATGATCTACGAACATGCCTCTTCTTGACTCGCCTTATGTATTTCACCACCCGTTTTATTTCTGGAAAAAGCCCTCATCGAATCAGAAATAAATCTTCGCCGAAGAGAATTTAAAGGAACGAAAGGAACGTACCTCTGCGTTTGAGATTCCGGTCTTCTTGTTAGACTTGTCCTGTTAAATTCTACACTCAAACAGGAAGTGATTTGTAGTGTTACTGATTGTCCTGATTCTTCTTGTTCTTTAATACTGACCAGTTAAATCTCCATCGATTGCAAGATAGACTCCTTGTTGGATACCATTAGTTTGTCTCTTGGTAGAAGGGTTAATATAAGCTATTTGCCTCTCAAAACAATGAATTTTTAGCCGATGAAACGAGCGCTACCTTCCAAATGCAAAGTATTAAATGAGCTCCAAGCTGTAAGTCACGTGATTTCGTAATGGCAAAATAACCAAACTAAGCGGGTGGGTGAGGGGAAGAGAAAACGAAGAAGTGTTTGGACTGCTTGAACCAACCTCTTTCCCATGGGTTGCTCACCATTTACAAAAGCAAACCCGTCGGTTTGCGGTTTGGGCAAATTGTTAGCAAAATTCAGGACTTTTAGATTTCTTCCCTGAATTTGTACAAATCAGTTCCATTTACCGAAAAGCGGCCGCAAAGGTCGGAAACTGGTATCGAAGATGGCTTTGAAGAAGGTTAGCACTCTTCTCGATCAGGTGGCCGGTGTAATTCCTTTGAAAAAGCTGAAGATAATCTTTTGGTGGAAAACTATAGGCCTAATTCTGTGTTGCCAGTACTAAGCAAAGTATTGGAAAGAGTGGTACACACACGAATGATCGCTTACTTAGATCACCTAGGTTTGTGATACAAACATTAGTACGGTTTTAGACGTGGTCGCAGTACGGCACAATCGGCGGGCCATTTGAATAGTTTTTGTGCTAGATGCCATGGACGGTGGAAAAGTAACTGGTATGCTATTTCTCGATATATAAATCTCCAAGGCGTTCGACTTTATAAACCAAGATACTTCTGGGGAAGCTTGAACACATAGGACTTTCTGCAAGAAGTCTGAGATGGTATAAATCGTATCTCTCAGACAGATGTTGTCTTGTGCAAGATGCATTGGAGGGAAACATCCCCGAACATTTCAATGTGTTCAATTCTAAAATGAGCCAACAGCACACGTATAATACTCGAAATGGTTACATGCCCAAAGTCAGCAGGCCAAGAACGGAATGGGGTAGAAACAAAACATATTATAAAACAACTAACGATTGGGTTACTGCCGAGTGAGCTCAAGAGACTAATGCCAAAAACGATTTTCAATTACAAATTGAAACAGTTTTTATTGAACCATTTTGAACTGTAGTTGGTATTTGTATGTCTTAGTTTAAACGATTTTTAAACACGAACTGAAAAAGTTGTTATAAAAACAAGTGACTTTAGTTTGTATTTTTAACTTGAACATTAGTTGTAGAATTAATTTTTAGCTGTATTTTAGTTTTAGTTTATGTAGTCCGACCTTTATTTTAGAGGATCCTCCTGAAAACCACCGTTAGGTGATTGGAGGCTTCCTCGTTATATATTATTTATTATTAAGTCAGAGATGCAAATCTCTGGAGTTGAAAACTCTAGAGACTTCCTCGTTGTCAATACTCCCTTCAATATCATGAACCCAACCCATCCTCAAACGAACTGGTAGGTGAAAATACCCTTCTCCAGAAGTATTTGTGTCAATGTGTCATCAGTTTTTGAAAAACAGTCTTCATCTTTGGGTGGGTTTTTGCCGCATGTGGCGTAGGAGGCTATGTTAAAAGTTGACCAGTTTTGGAAATCCTATCTATTAACCTTTTTACTTCCAGAGTACATGATGGACCCTGGAAAGGTGAACCTAACTTTCGAGTCTGCGAACAAACATATCGTGCTACAGTGAAACCATTCAAATGAAACCTCTTTAGCCCTTCTTTCACATGGCACTCTTTGATCCTCGGAATTTTACAGGAAATTTTGTTGAATGGCAGGAAAGGTTGATAAATAAGTGTACTGAAATACATATAGTACTTTGAAAGAGTATGGTTTTGGATGTTTCATTTTTATAAGAATGGACTTGGCTTTCACACCGACTCGCTAAGGTAAGAAAAACACTGAAGTCATCAAAACAAATCAAGAAAGAAGGATTAAGGTGATTTAATTCAAGTTTAGTTGGGTCGAAAACTCCCATTATTCAATAGTTAATGTCAGTGATGATCCGTTATTTAGTCGGTACTAGAAAATCTGTTTCTCACTGGAAAACATACACACAGAATTTGTCCAGTGAACTAGTAACAATAAGCTGGCCACTGCTTGACACAGCAACAGAATATGGTGCACTAAGCCCAATATGTTGTCCTTCTATTGAGTTCACAAATTTTCCGTCAAGAGTAAATAACTGAAGTCTTGCCTTATCACGATCACACACCACCAGGTTATTAAACCTGTCAATTGCAATACCCGCAGGAAAACTCAGATGTCGAACACCAGACTCTGAGGTGCATATACTGTACAACAACACCCCATCTTTGCTGAATACCTTTACGTTACCTGCCTTTGGATAGGAAATATAAAACATATTTTGATGACACACTGCATTGCATGGGATTGCACGGTTAGGATCACGGATGGCAAGCAACAGCTGTGAGCCATCAGAGAACAGGACTTTGACTGTGTGGTCACCCCAGTCACACACCATCACGCGTCCATCAGACGCAATTTTCAGATACTTTGGTTTCTGCAGTTTTTTGTTGATGACGTATTTTATAAATTTGTAACTTCTATTGTAGCAAAAAATCGTGTGAGAAGCAATAACTAAGAGTTCACTTGACTTGGTGAATGCTACTGACGTGGGATCTCCTCGAAGCAAGAAAATCGCTCAAAGTTTTCTTTCTACAGCCAAATTTGTATAAGTAATAGCATGATTTGTAGTGATATTTGGCATAAATACCACGAGTGATATTTCGAAATTGTTACACGTAATTTCGCTTGTCCGTGCCGTTTGTTTTCATCGTTCATGACCATCGCTTACTGGAGTATTTAAAAATGTCGCGCGTATCAAACGCTTTATAAGATTACACATCGTTATAACTGAGACCATTAAATAACAAAACAAATAATAATAAATTCGCTATTACTTTGAAGCGTAACTCTGTTAAAGTTCATTCAAACACTCGACCACACTGAGAGCTCGCACTATAGAAACGAGAACCAGCTGGCCGTATGGGGGTGATTTTGGAAATTTTCTGAAATTTTTGAACGGTTTGGCTCGTCCTGAATATTGACTGAGTGCAATTTGTCTTCAAAAATTTGTGAAATACCGCATTCTGTCCGCGCTCTGTATGATAAATAGTACTGTTTCACCTCAAATGTGGTGTATAAAAATTATAAAAGATTGGTTTAAACACCCCCAGATTTGTTGGTAAGAATTTGTAAAGTAAACCTGTCGAACGCAAAAAAATTTGGCGTGATTTGTTTTCCAAGAATTTGTTTTCGAGGCCTAATCTACTGTGATCTTGAATGTGATTGAAGATGTTTGCCAGTTTTTGGGTGTACATATAAGGTTATCAATTCGATGTAAGATGTTTCACTCTAAAATAACTTAGCCTTTCCCTCAAAAGTCACGTCACATGAATGTGCCCTTAAATGATTTGTGGATTAAAAGTTTATTGTTTGATTTAAATTATAAATTTATTAAAATTGGAGCTTCGCTTTTAGTCCTGGCTAAATCTATATATTATAATAAATAGAACATTACATGGCCGCTTGGAGATACGAAATTTCTCTTCTCGTGTTGAAAAAATATTTCACTCGTTCCCCACCCTCCTGGGATCTCAGCAATAAAGTGAAGAGAGAGGGTTAATGTTCCCTGGCTGAAACACATAACGATGTAAGCGAGAAAGTTGTATGCATTAAGGATACATTTTCCTTTTCGACTTAAAAAGTCTTACACAGCCAGATATTCCTTATTAAACTGGTATCTTTATCTGACGTAAACCTCCTTAAATGGGCACCAAGCGTTGATCCCCGGCTTTTCATCCCTTAGTCCATGTTTTCTGTGGACAACTTACTAAGACAGACCTGACTGAAAAACAATGTCAGTCGCAACGATGTCCATCTTAGAGAGAGAGGTGAGGGCGAAGGGTGGGGGAGGAATGGGATTGTCTTTGTTTCCTCGGGGAATACTCAGGTCAGGGGGTACGTCAGTTAAGTTTCGCTTTACTAAAAAGCCATGTCTACTGGCGCTAAAAAATTAGCACTACACCCGACGTTTTGGCCCTGTACTACCGCGCGATTTCAGGGTACAGCGATACCGATATCACTCCAATCAAGAGAGAATGAGATATTCTCTCTTGCTCCAATATAGGTAAGTATTTAACATTTTGAAAGCAAACAAAACTGAGTTTTCCCTAGATAAAAACTAATATTTTGAACTTTGCGATAGTAACGACATGCAAGTCTCATAGTGTTTAGCCAAGTGATTTCACTGGCTAAAATAAAAGTAGCTTTAGGTGGTGAGGATGCGTGGGATTAGGCAAGGCAAACAGAGCTGTTATCCATATACAATTGGCTGTACCAACTTACATGTGACACTAAGTTAAAGTTTTTTCGACGTCTACCTGTATCCAAATAAGCTGAGTCCAGCCATGAAATGACACGTTTTGGTAACAGTAAGTAGTAAGTCATTTCAGTATTCGTATTCATCTAACCAGCCAGCCAGCCTGCCCTGCCAGTCAATTAGCGAAACTTAAAAAATACCGTCAACTCTCTCTATAAGACGGACACCTCTGTAAGATGGACACCTGGTGTTGGTTCCTGCCGTTTTTCAATTATTTTGCTCTAACTGTACTCTCTATAAGATGGACACCTCTCTAAAACGGATAACGGACACTTAAGAAGTGCTTTATGCAAAGAAACATACCTCAAAACGGAAATGTAGGTTCTACATGACAGTGAACTGCAAAAGTTTTAATATTTTGTAGTCTCTGTATACTGTTACGCTTTTAGACCGTGCGAGAAGCCGTAAATGTTTGATTGCATAATAATAAAATCATTCCAATTTTCTGCTACAATGTCCAAGTTTTAGCTGTTTTGCATTGTATTCATTGCGAATGGTGTCACGTTACCTCGACCCTCTAATAAGCCGAAATCCTGTCTAAGACGGACAGTCGGGCCGGTCCCGAAGGTGTCCGTTTTAGAGTGGAGTTCACTGCCGCGTTATTTTTACGTGCGTGTACACGTACGTAAATTTTAATCACGTAAATAAAATAGAGGCAAGATATAAAGTGTTGAGCTTAAACGTCAAGTCGAGCGAAGTTCACCTTTTACGCTTATTTGCGGCCTTTCGTGAATTGCCTCTATTATATTTGCGAACGTAAATTTTACGCACGTACGCACGTAAAAATTACGCGATACTGGAAATCAACCCTTAGAGAGAGTTAGCTGTACTACATTACCTTTGAGAGTTGCTAAACGGAATATTTATCCCATTCTTTTGTTTGCTAAAGGGGCACCCCCTGATTTACTTAGATGTAACTAAAAATAGTGTTGCTGCTCGCCAATGTACGAAGCTACCATGGGAAACTCGTGAATAACTTGTTTAGAAGATAGAGGTGAAAGAAATACTGATTTTAACTTGAAATGATATACTCAATAAAACTTCTGGCTGTCGTGCATGTATTTGTCAACACACACGGTGCGTATACACTATTCAAGAGTTCATTTTCTAAAACTTAGCCACGCCGGGGTTCAGCTTCTGTAGTTGCTGGCTACCATTTTTGTTACACTCCTTCGAATTATCATACTAAATTTGCTTGTAGTTTGTGAAGTAAGATATACAGCCGCACCTTGTTCTTGTTTCGGCGAAAACTACGTGAGAATCAACATAAATATTATGAACAGAAAAATTTTATTCAGCCAAACTGAATGGATTTGCTCCGCAATAAAGGTAAGAAATACTCCTTGTCGTTGAGTTGTGATAAATGTAACTGGTCCCTCGTTGACAGATGACAGATTTTGAAAAAGCTTAAAATAGATTTTCAAACCGACTCCCAATTCACCCTAGTTTTTAAGAAATGACCTCTAATAAATTTTACTTTTATGAAAGTCACCCTCATCCGATTGCTGTGGAAACTACGAGTATGATCTAGCTGCAAATCGAGTTGCGCGTTATTTCCGCGTTTTTAAAGGTAAGAGATACCCTGGGTACCAGAGGTTTCTTCTCGCGTTATTTCCGCGTTTTTCAGGTAAGAGATACCCTGGGTACCGGAGGTTTCTTCTCGCGTGTGACGAGGAGCTTCGCCGGCCGCAGGTGAAACAGAAAAGAAAGCGCTTGCCTTCTCTCTCCTCAGTGAAAAACGCGAAAACTGAAATAACGCCGATTCTGCAGGCTGCAAATCTAGCCAAAGTTCAACCTATAATTTATCTAATATCGTTGTTTACTAATTACGGATGTTACATTCAATCTCAATTCACCCTCGTAAATACCTTGTGCTACTTTCATGAAATTTATTAAAATGCACCCCCCCCCCTTCCAGGAAAAGCCCCCTTATCTGAAAATGATCCCCCAAATCCAATCAAGATTTTGAAAATAGCCCCCCTAAAAATGGCCGCCCCTCGACTCCTTACAGGTGATAAAGGACAAGCCCCTGTAGACGACTTTTCACTTGTTTTACAGTTGCTATTGTACAAGTTAATTATCTCCAACTCCTGTAATGATTGTTATTATTTAACAACATCTGTCTTTTACTGAAAAACCCGCACACAGTGTAGGGACTTATCAATAACGAACAGCTGGCCAGTGCCTGACACAGCAACAGAACGAGGACAAAAACCAAATACTTTTGTGTGGTTGACAAGTGTGCCATCAAGGTTGAACATCTCAAGCTTTTCTTGATCCCCAACACACACCACGAGGTTATTGAACCTGTCAATTGCAATGTGACCAGAACATTCCCCCACAAAAATGTTGTACAAAAACACACCATCCTCGCTGAATACCTTAACACGTTTAAATAAGGAGTAAGAGGAATCAGCAAAGGAAACAAAAAACTTATTCTGATGATACAAAGGACAAAATGGAGTTCCGCTGTTTGGATCAATGATGGTGAGTAGCAGCTGTGAGCCATCAGGTGATAGGACCTTCACTGTATTATCACCCCAGTCACACACCATCAAGCGTTCATCACCAGCAATTGTCAGGTGGTCTGGTTTCTTTAGGTGTTTGTTGCTAACAGTTCTTAAAAATTTATAACTTTCCGCATGGAAACATGAAATCTTACTAGAAGCAATAACTATTAGTTCACCTAACTTGGTGAATGATACTGATGAGGATTCAATTGGTCTCTTTGTGTTAATTTCTGTTAGATACGTCCCGTTCAAACTAAATAGCAGTACCCTTTTTCTGTCGGCCACCGCAACTTTTCCTGACTTTTCATCTATTGCAATAGAACAGGGCTCTTTAAATTGTCCTTGCCCTTTCCCGTATGAACCAAAAGAAAATAAACGTCTGTAATGATGTGGAAACACCTCAACACACCATGGACTACCAGACAGTGGCTCACCGTTAACCTCAATCAATACTTCATGTTTTCCAACACAATCGGGTGTGTAAACGGCGCTGTATTCACCATCTTTTCCAGGAGCAGTCACACGGTAACTCAGCTCTTTTCCTGATGGTAACTGAACTCTTATATCAATCCGATCATTTTCGTCGTGGCATTGGTTTCCCTCAGAATCTTTTGTCTTTACTTTGATTATTGCTTCGATTCCGACTTCTCCTTCAACCTCGTTCCCAGGGTTCTCTCCTACCCGTCTCGTCGCTTCGTCAGGACAGGTGGGAAATAAATCTAGGAACCATGTTTCTTTCTTTCGCAACCCTGTTACTCTTCTAGACACTGACTGCAAAGGATCTGTGTTACTAACAACCACTTGACCAAGCGCCAGAACAGCACGTCTCATAGTCTCCAAGTTCTCTTTATTTATCTCGTATCTGACATGCGATGGTTTGTAAATTTTCAGTGTCTCTGTATTTGTAGGACACCGGGACCGCTTAATGAAGTCATTTTGGGCTTGCAGAATTTCAACACTTTTATTCCTCAGTAAGATGCCCTCGCACCACTCCACATGCCCTTGTAACTGATACCTAGAATTTTCCAAATGTTCCAGTTGTGCTGCATGTTCCCGTTGTACTTTTCCATAAAAAATATCTAGACTGGCTATCATAGCTTTCTCATGTTCCTGCAGAAGTCGGATGAGTTCCTCAACAGAAGTCATTACTTTAGTACGAGCTGAAGCAACCGTCTCCCTGCCCTTTCTCAAGGATTCCTTTGTTTTTTCCACACGCTCCGTGTAATCAGCAGTTTTTCTTTTCATTTTCTGTACAGTCTCCTCGATAGGAACTTTGTGTAGTTCTGCGGCTTGGTGGATATCGATGGTGGTGTGATCAGTATGACGTGTCTGTCTGCATTTGTCGCAAATGCACATTTTGCACTGTGTACAGTAAAACGTCAGAAGTACATTCTCGTGAAACTTCTCTCTGCACATGAAAGTTGTGTCCAATGTCTCCTCTAGTTTTGAGCCATTACCTTATATTAAACGAAAAAGGAATGGGGTTAGACCTAGGCCATACGTCAAAATTTTCATGATGAGACGACTCAATTTTAATTGGTTAATTTGAATTAAGACTTAACTGCATCACGCAGTCACATTAATAGCAAGAAATGTCCCGCCTATGAAGGAGCCTACATTTTTTGCTATTAATTTGACTGCGTGATGCAGTTATGACCCTTGCTCGTCAACGAGTCCTCATGATCAGTAGCACAGAGGTTAGAGCATCCGATCTAGAATACGGAGGATCGTGGGTTCGAATCCCATCTGGGGCTCAGATTTTTTCTGTGTCCTCTTACGGTTGATTCTTTACATCTCCCTCTATTTCATGATGTTAGTTTGAAAAACGCTTAATTCTGTATGAAAAATGAAACGAACCAGTCTTAAAAGGTTTCTTATTTAAACAGGGTAGCGAAATGAGCAATATCCTGTCCTAAACAGGTCTAAAGGCCTCGGCGACACACCTCTACCTAAACTTCCCTTGAGTGTCCCCCCGGCTGCGACGCCTATTGGCATCTGACTCGTCCCCAGTCATCTCTCACCACCTCTCCCTAATGGCCCGCATCACCCCCTAGAGTAGAGGACGAGTCAGTATCGGCGTTGTAAGTGGAATGCATTTTAAAGCTGTACAACCTCCGCTTAATTAAGCTATTTTACAAGTATTAAGCAATAAGGCACTTAAAGCATCATCCTACTTAAAGACCAACTCTCACGCGCCTTACGACTTCATAAGGGGCCACAAATTGTACTCAGTCAGTCTTAGAGGTGCAATTTTATGAAACGCTCTTTCTTCATACATATTTTACGAGCTCCCAGTTCACGGTTCTTTATCGTAATCTAAAGAAGGCAAAAAGTATGCAAAGGATCTCGATTTCAGTTTCCAGTCAGTTCAGTCGCTTCCGAGACATAACCGTAATCTAAAGAAGGCTAAAAGTATGCAAAGGTTCCCAGTCAGTTCAGTCACTTCCGAGGCATAACCGTGATTTTAAGTGCTATTCAATCTGGTTTGTCTTTATGCCCTATCTATTTTTAGCCATTCTTTGGAGAACTTAAGTGTCATACTGTATATGCTTACTGAACATAACACGAGCCCACAAGCTTATGCTTCAAATTTTTATCGTGTTAAAATAGCTTTAACATAAATCTACCTGGAGTTTTGAAAACCGGGTTGCCTGAAATCTTAAGTCAAGTCCAGCACATTGCAGGCAATCTTTCAAAACTTAATTTGCTTAAAGCCCTGATACTTTTAGTGTAAAAATAACAATCTCGCTCTTCAGGACTAACCACCCTCACCTCTTAACCATGGGCTCCAAATAACTTCCTGGAATTGACAGAAATCAGTGCAAATTCCAGAAAATTTGCACGAGGGGGGCAACAGCCCGTCCCGTAGGGACGGGCTGTTGTCCCCGTTGGCCCAGCTAATATTTTTTGAGGGGGGCTTCCGTCAAACTAAGTCTCATGTTGTTGCACAGACACAGGGCTATCATCTGGTATGCATTTGGGGTAGCCTGGTTAAATTCCAGGGGGGTGGGGTTGTTGTAAAGACTATGCTTTGTGCTAGAGTGCAGATTTGCTGAGTCTTTGTACCTGGGCTTACCCCTGTCTTTCAAAGCTCAATGTCTCCCTCAAATTAAGGGGGGGTTGTGTCTGGCTGGCTGTCATGTTGTTGCACAGACACAGGGCTATCATCTGGTATGCATTTGGAGTTGTTGGTTTTTTAGGCGACCAGGTTTGTTTAAATAAGTTTTTTGATAGGTTTTAAGTCATTGAATTTTTGGAGATGACTCTTAAATAACTTTAGCCTTTCTTTCTTATTTTTTAAAACAGGCACACTGAGCGACTGCTTACTTTATAATTTCTCTACGGAGAGGGAGAAGAGGCCTATTATTTTCTACTGCTTGAGGACGGCTTAAAATCTGCTTATGAATGTTGATCTATTCATATACAAATTTTGAAACTTAGCTAATGAATTTCCATTATTTTATTTTAAGTTAAATTCTTCACATTTTACCCCCCAGTCTAGGCTATTTATCATAGGTAGAGAAATGGAAAATTTCGGACTCTAAAATTTGATGTTCCTAACCGGAATCAATTATGCAGTTTTAACTTTGTTAAAACCTTTTAGTGCATCTAATATTTTCGGGAAATTAACGCTGAAGCCCTCGTATTTTTCAAAAGACTCAAAATACCGTAGGATGACCGAACTGATACACAAACGTTTATAGCGACGCTGACGATGCATTTCTAGAGATTTAAAAATATTCTGGATAGCCTAAAAAGTGTTTAAAATGTATTAGGAGGAAATTGTCGTTGGGGGTGCCCCTGCTCAAGGAGTTTATGTTATAAAAAATTATGTAAGGAAGTGATATGAGCCTTGCCTTTGTTAAAGTCTCGGTACCGTTGAGGTAAAATTAACTTTATATTACTTGACTGCAACAAAAATAAATAAAAATGCTGCAACGAAAGATACTTGATATTTCTTTCTCCTCCCGTGTTTTTTTTAAGCTTCCCATTAAATTTGTGACTTAGACAGTGATGTTTAAATCTTTGTATTGCAAAAAGATTCGAACGAGCGGGAAGATGGTTTCTCACCATTTACAGGTGTTGCCTCTTTGTAGACTACAAACGTACATCAGTAAGGGGCATATGTATCGTAGTGTAATATAGAAACGTCCTTCCTGTTAAGGGGAATGATCCATATGATGTAATTATGTTCTGGCTGGCAAATTATGCAGTCGGATAAAGTGGAGTGAAGACTTTATTTAAACAGCAGATAACCTTTTTACAATAAAAACTGATTTACTTGTGGCCCTCTATTAACACAAAAAAAAATAAAATATAAAAATCAGATCATTCAACAATGGTAAGAGAGAGAAAGAAAGTTACAGAAATGAAAACTGTAATAATCACAATTAAAAACAAATAAGACTGTAAAAAGATCTATTTCAGTCGTATTTTTATCTTTTCTTTATTTTGGCTAATTAAACTAACTAAAAAAAGTGTCTCAGCTCCGGTTCACTGCACTTTTAAAGCCAATACTGTTACGTCATATTTCAAGGAAGCAAACCTTGCTTCATGATCACTTTCTCTGAGATGAGAGTTCTTTGAATGAGTCAGATCGCGGATCTCTTGATCTTGATTGTCGCTGCGATTTCGTAAAGATTTTAGATACTTAAGTCGGTTATTAGTTTTGTCACAAACTTGACAGGTATCGAGCCTAGATTTTCTGAAGCTAAGAACATCTTTCAACTCGGTGTTAAAGATATTTCTAAAAGTTGAAAAACTTATAACAGGTCCTTTGTTTTTTCTTTTTAACCTGGTCGTCTTGACATCAGGATGTTCACGAATATATTCCGACCACATTTTTCGTAGTGACTCATTGGACTCAAAATACTTTTTGCTGCCACTTCGCGATCTTCTATAATGAGACTCGGACGCGTCATGTGAAAGTATAAAGTCGATGACGGTCTGTTTTGTTTCAGGCAAAAGTCTTCGAGGAGTGGTTTGCCCTCTTTGGTCGGGCTCTATAAATGGCCCTTCAGGGCTCATTTTTTTTAGCAGACATTCTATTTTATGCTTTGAGATACCATAAACCTTGAGGAACGCAGTCTTGCATACTTCACCTAGCGATGGGGACTTGTATGTTATTTTTCGTTTTCCGGTTTGCGTGATCTTCACTTCCACAAGTCTTGACAGAAGATAATTTTGTTCATTGTATTGTTTCTTATAAAGCAGGTCCCTTTGCTGTCGTATGATGCGTTTTATATTACACAGACCGTGTCTCAGGAGGCATCCATTGTCACAACAGGTCAAGTTCAAATTGTGCAAACCAAAGGCAGCATTTTTGCGCCGGTTCACTCGGTTCGTCCTTGGCACGTAAACCTTCTTGAACTTGCTTCTGGAACTCAAAGTTCTCCTTCCTTTCTCTACCGAGCTTGCAAGAGGTTTACCTTGTCTAAAATATTGCCACGGATTCGAACTGTCAAAAATGTACAATAGGCGATTAACATCAACCCCACTTAAGTTCATCTCTGTTTCTTGCTGAGCAAAAGAGCCCATTGTTGAAGGAAAGGAAAATGGTTTAATCTCACCCGCGTGATCCTTATTCATTTTGTATTCTTCATGGAAGGTAGAGCTTACTAGAATTTTCTAGCATCGTGATAAAAAAGTAACTATAAAAACGTTTTCTGACGTCAATTATAACCAATCTACCACGTGTTGACAGTTTCGCTACTTATCAGTATAGTTTTTTTAAAAATAGCCTCTGTAGTCGTGTGGGATGACAAGAGAAAAATGCATTTTTGTGTAATTTTTCCTCTTAACAGACACAAATATTACTCCATCAAAAATAAGAAAGGCACTCACTTTTTGCATAATAATGATAATACTTTATCAACTTCGCCCTTGAAACAGTCGGCCTTAAGGAAATTCAACTGCGTGATTCACGAAAAGTCTAGAATTCAGGTGTAATTTCCGTGTTGTGAAACACGTTCTACAAAATAGCTGCATTTTATGAGAAAAATCCAGAGTTTTCGCGACTTTTCATTTTTTTTAATATTGCGACAAAACAAGCAAGTGAACACACTTATAAATAATGTGCCCATCCGACCACTGACCTTTGTTAAGATCTTCGGCCCATTGAATTATTTCCGTTTCGACCGGATTGTGACCCAGGGGTGCCATTTAACGATGATGCCAAGAGTGTTGGTTCTCCAAATGGACTATCATAAGTGTCTTCCGACGCCAAAAGTTTCCTCTCAAGATTCCTTTTACTTGAGAAAGTTAAGGACTAATCTTTTCGGGGTCTATTCAGCCAATGAGGATATTATGAACTGTTTTTTTTACGATGAATCCATTGGCGGAAGTGGTCCTAATGAAGTGATATCGTTACTTAACTACGTATTGGAGACACTAATAGAAAGGTACGGGACATTTCATCATTTAATACTATGGGCAGATAACTCGCCAGCACAGTTTAAACACTGCTTTTTATTTTTTTACTTGGACACCCTTGTCCAAAATGGAAGGTTTCTTCGAGTAGATCTGAAATTTCTGTTGGAAGGGCATTCCTTTTCAATATGCGATAGAAGATTCGGGTGCATTCAGCAATTCTTTAACACTCAGGAAAAAATCGAAACTCCTCAAGAATGGGCAATTTCTCTACGAAATAGCCATTTACGTAACGTCAGAAGCCACTGGGTAAGCCTTCATCAGATAATGAACTACAAATCTTACTTAAAGAACAAATACATTGCTAGAAGCGAGGACATTAACGGAGAAAAATTCGGAGTGGGAAAAATTGCGTTTATGAATTTTGGCTATGGTGAGATACCAGATCAAGAAGGAAACTTAACGCTTACCAGGCACAATGAAACCGCCTTTATCAGGGTTACAATGGATACAGTAGAAAAGCCAACGATTGTCTCTTCTGTAAAGAAGAAACAATGTGAGGAATTAAATCCAGCGGATCTAGTTCCTGTGAGACAAGTTGCAGACCTGTTCGCGAAAATGTGAGACCAAATTGTATAACACTCGCCCAGAAATATTTATCTGAAAGGGCTTTACGGTTCTTCACTGCATTGGCAGTTGCTGATCAGGACAGTCATGATGCTGACTAGTAATGAATACCCACTACTTGTGTACATAGTGATAATACCAGTTACAATATCGTAGAAATAACTCTTATACCCTAATTACGATACCGATGGTTTTATCGGATTGAGAGACAATAATTAGGTTCATGAACATTTTATTCACTGTATCCGTTTAGTAGTGTACACAACTCGATGTACCACAGTCCGACTGAGTAAACACTTGTAACTGCACCCTGAGACCTTTTTAAAAGGCAAACGTTGAACTAAAGGCGACTGATAATCGCACGAGCGCCCCGCTGCGGTAAAGGCTTAAGCGTGCCTTCCTCACGATCAGTTTGCTTTGGCTGTGTATACTCAATTTGATTTAACTAGAAACGAATGAGAAACTATTGCGTTTATAAAGTTCTCTGTTAGCAACGACATGTAAGGTGCATTGGCCAATGTGCAACCGTAATTTATGCACAGCTGATGAAAGAAAGGATGATATGTTTCCAAGCTAAATTATAGGTGTCCACTTTATCAAACATATTCCCTTCGCCAAATAGCAATCAGTAAGAAACTAAGGGAAACCTTATAGTTATGGGTAAATAACAGAAACATGAAGCAAAAACATCAGGACATAGGAAGCTATAGCAACGACGTCCGGCCACGGCAACGAGTAAGTCAAAAAAGCTATAGATTTATTAAGAAAAGCAAGAACTCTGCCCGTGCATCTACTTCTTTGCTGTCACTGCCCGCACAACTACGATACGTTTTATGGAGAGAATTAGAATTAACACCGCAAGATTTAAAAAAAAACGCCTATTCGTTTTAAAATTGACGTTTTCGCTGCTGTTGCCGCCGTCGATGCCAAAGGAAGATTTTTTAGACGTGAGTATACTTTAGCTTCAAAGTAAAGTAACACCTATCAGGCTAAATTAAATGTCCTGACTGGCCATAAACCTTTTAGCGTAATCTCTGTCAGCAGGGAGTTTTAGCAAGGTCCACGGCGACGGCAAAACGAGAACGTCAAAACAGCAATAAGTTTATTAAACAAAACTTCACGTTTACACGTGCAGATCACTTTTTTGCACATTTCTTTGCCATTGCTGCACGACTACGAGCCTAATTTCACGTTTTATGGAGGACGTAAACAAGCGATAGGGAAATTTTCTTTGTCTTTCTAAACTTGAGTGCAGTCCTTAAGAAATCAACTCCAGGGAAATTTGCCTACACTAGACATTTTCAGTGAATTGGAATTAACGCGATAAAATTTGAAAAACGCAAATTCATTTTAAAAGTGACGTTTTCGCTGCTGTAGCCGTCGTCGATGCTAAAACTCATTTCGAGCGCGCAAAGCTAGCTCGTAAAATCACTCGCGCACAATAAAACAAAACTTTACTTTTGGTCCGTAATCAAATTGCATGCATGACTGAAACGCAGCGCAAAGCAGATATTTCTGAGAACATTTTACTGAATTACAAATGTGAACATAAAAATCAATTTTTGGCATCGATAGACAAAAAAAGGTTAAGGCAATCGCCTGTTTGGTAATGCCGGTTAGCCCAAATTGACAAAAAAGGGGGATGAAAAAAGCACCGCATGTATTGTAATAACGTCACGATAAATTGTAAATTTAGTAGTGATGGCAATAGATGGACTAAGTGGAATCCAATTCGGTCTGTAATGATGCGAGTGATCAACAAAAAATCGGAGGACCGTGCAGCGGGAGTGATTACTTAAATCTCGATTATGATTACAGACCGTATTGGGTTGCATGAACGTTTGTTACAACTTAATCATAACTATAACAAAATGTGTGATATTTTAGGATTGTTCAAAATTAAAACGCAAGAACTTCCGAGAGCTTTTCGCTAGCAGTGAGAAAAAAAAAAGCATTTGAGTGCACGATTGCAATGGTGCGTGCTGTCCAACTAGTAGGCATAACGCGTACTGGCCTATAAGTGGTGAAATCAGCACAGTTGATGGCCTATCAGATTTGAGAATTTTACTATAGTTATGATTAAGAAAAAAGGGAAAGAATAAAGAAGAAAAAGAAACGGTAAAAGCTAGTGTGGAAGAGTTTGACTGTATGTATGATATTCCCAATCTGCGTCGCCGTAATTCCAGAGGAATTCCACAGATTGTGGAATATCATGCAAAGCAACGAAAAACACTCTTGCTCGCGACGATGTATCATCAACATAGGGCTTTAAATTTGCGTTTTGCCTTGAATGGTTGATAGTTGCCGCCAAGTTTAGCTCGGCATGAATATCACCATAGTAAGGATCAATTCTGAAAGTAAATAATAAATAACGTTTTAGTGTGTACAACTTAACACAAACATTAAGAATATCCCACATATATTCATAACATACTGAGTAACTGTTGGTTCTCGCGAGTAAGTTGAAACAGAAAGATAGTTCAAAGAAATCAAAAGGCGACAAGTCAAGTCAAAACAACGGTCACACGTGTTTATATAACGTCGTCTTGGAGGTAGTAAAAGTATTTGTAAAAATGCGCTTAAGCCTTTAACTTACGCGATGCTTTGGCCGCGGTGATCTATGACCATGAGGGTACATGTCTTTCCTACTCTCGCGTACTCCGCCTCGCGTTTCGTTGCCTCAGTCATCGATATAAGCTCCCCCGTGTACTCTGCCACCACCTGTCCTCTTTCCACGTCTTTTTTGGCGAAGGCGCATTTTCCCGCGCCTCGCGGGTCACTTGGAACGTCGTGCACCTGCGCAACAAAAGTGCGAATACTGATCAGCTATTAACATTTCATTAAACCAGAAGAAAAGATATTCATCAGGAAAGGAACAAAATAGCCTCAAGTAAACACTCACCTCGATTGGAGGAACTGGTGGAGGATGCCTGGCCATGAATACGGCGATGTTTCTTAACATCTGTTCACCTCCAAATTCATGGCCAAGCATACGACGGGCGCGGTGGAGTTTAATATTGAAGTATCCTCTACTGTTGTTTTGTACGCCGTAGGTGACATTTCCATTGTTTGAGAAAGAAAAGGTGGAAATTTCCTTTTTTAGTTGCTGTTGACATAAAAATAAACGATTTTAGATCATTTCACCTTCAATGCCTTGAGATGTTTTCTTTTTCAACTTTTGAACTTACTCGATTAAAAGCACTTCTCTTCATTAAGAACTTTGTTTGGCCGTGAACACTGTCGTCGTCGGTCCAAATTGAAACTGCCGTTTCATAGGCGGAAAAAAGCTCCGATGTGGAAACAAAGTTTCCTTCCTCTGTAGTGACACATTGATTTAAAAATTTTGACAAAAGAGGACATTTTGCCGCTCTTTTGTGCCGCAGCATCACCCGTCTAACATTCGCGTAGGACATGTTGAATAACGTTGTGGCAACTGGATAAGGATGTAAGAGCTATTTTCTCACAGGGTAAAATTAGACAAAGTATAGAAGTGTGGCAGAGTGTGGGAATGCTTATAAAAGCTGCACTTCTATTTGTGGAATGTGTCAATCTCGCTACTTCACTGAATGTCGATCTGGTGTTTGCAGGCAAGTTTTCAAAATATTTGTAGTTGTTTTTCAAGACTTTTATTATTTCATTAAAAAGAAAAATATATGAGACATACAGACGTTTCAATAGACCGCTTTAGCTCAATGTATTGATGATATGTTTTTGCTTTTCAAACGCCATGTGACTTGAAGTATGTTATGATAATTTATGCGTAGATTTGCTCATGATTATGCATAAATTTTGATACTATATCACATGACCTTCATTGCAACTGGAATATGAGCCCGCATTTCCAGGCAGGGTGGCTACATTTGCCGCGGGTCTGAAAAACACATATACAACTATTTTGAAAATTTGCCTGCAAACACCATCCGTGTATCAAAACACTTCGGATCTCTTCTCAGCCTTTGATTCTTTTATAACGGGATGAGAACCCGAGACCACAGGAGCCAGAAACAAATGAACTTCAAACGTTATCCAGGCTATCGATCGAAAGGAATCAATGTGACCTAAGTCCGCGTTTTATAAAGGAAGGCTATTAATTCTTTTCTGGATTTCTGGATTCAGGTAGGGAACATAAACTTTGAAGATATTGACACTGGGGCAATATTTCCGTACTGTTCTGACAACACCTTACGTTTATTGTGAATGCAGCAATTTCCTACTTTACGAAGTTCAGTATTGCATGAAGAGTCAAAACATCATGAAACATGTATGCATAATCATAAACAAGGTTTTTAACATTCTTGGATAGTAACCACGTGACAAGGCGACCAGGCTTGAAAACAATTCAGTACATAAAAATGAAAATACAGTTGAGTTCCCAGAGGAGAGAAATGCATTTGTTTTTATCATCCAACATGGCCGCCGTGATGTCAGGTGCATTAAAACCAATAATGGGACTGTTTGGTGATCTTGCTTACTCAAAGAACATAACACTTGTTTACTGACCTTGTCTATAGAAAACAAACTGTTTCGCCTCTAACACCATACAGAGAAAATACAATTTCATTCTCTTTTGCCAGGAGATCATGATTATTTAGGACTTACAGTTATAGATTTTCTTATTACTGTTTAATTACTCGAAAAAGGAAACTCCTGGCATAGATAAACACATAAGCTCAAGCCCTTTCAAAGAGCTTCATACCTTAAGACTTCAGGTTTTATCGAAACAAACTTTTACTGCTGTACGATAACAAAAGGAAGGTGACTTTCAAGGGAATATAGAACCCTATGGTAGAGAAAGAAAAATTTTGAAAAGGGTTTAAAACCAATCCAAAAAATTTGTAAACAACTTGTCTTTCTTACCAAATACTTGAAATTGATTGGTCCAATAACATTTAAATCCACAAACGCTTACTGTCATATTTTATATTTTATTGTTTATGTAACTGACATGTACCTTCAAGTCAGCGTTACAATGCAGAAGGTGTCAATATACCAGTTATTCAAAAAAGAAGATTCATCAGCCAAGGTAATGTAACTTTATTGCGCACTAGATAAGTGTATAGTGATAATTTTTGTTCATATGGCCCAAAACCCAACAATGAGTCCATTAAACTACAGCAACCTTTACAGAACTCTATTAAACCATGAAATTCGGAGACATCTCACTATTATCAAATACAGATGAAACATATCATACTGTAAAATAGTGATCAATAATATTTTTGTATTTGATAATAAAGACGTTATCTTTTAAAAAATCTTTCATTATCAAACTTTGCCAAAACAGAGCTATCATCTGGTATCCATTGTGTGGTTCCAAAAATTTTCCATAATCCCCCACGAAAAGGATTATTTCTTAGACCTCCCCCCCCCCAACCTCTCTGGAAATTACAGTCAAGCTTCATACATTTACTTAAATTTTCGGGCCTTAATGAGAACCCCCAACCTGCCAGCAATTTCCAAACCCTTCTATAAAGGGAGTATGAATATATTCTAGAACTACACATTTGGGGTAGCCTGCTTAAATTCCAAGGGGTTGGGGTTGTTATAAGACAAGACAAGACAAAACAATCCTTTATTTCGAGTCTTATACAGTCCTATGTACATCGACTTTAGCCAAATAATTTAAAATCATAACACAAATTACACACTAGTGAAACTATAATCAATGTTAACCTAAGGAACTAATGATCTTCTTTTCTCATAGCAGTCGAATACGTATTTTGCAATTAACTTTTTCACTGGTATGTTCTTGCTCCCAGGGTTGTAAAGACTATGCTTTGTGCTAGAGTGCAGATTTGCTGAGTCTTTGTACCTGGGCTTACCCCTGTCTTTCAAAGCTCAATGTCTCCCTCAAATTAAGGGGGGGTTGTGTCTGGCTGGCTGTCATGTTATTGCACAGACACAGGGCTATCATCTGGTATGCATTTGGGGTAGCCTGGTTAAATTCCAGGGGGGTGGGGTTGTTATAAAGACTATGCTTTGTGCTAGAGTGCGGATTCGCTGAGTTTTTGTACCAGGGCTACCCCTGTCTTTCAAAGCTCAATGTCTCCCTCAAATTAAGGGGGGGTTGTGTCTGGCCGGGTGCCATGTTGTTGCACAGACATGGGGCTATCGTCTGGTATGCATTTGGGGTAGCCTGGTTAAATTGCAGGGGAGTGGGGTTGTTGTAAAGTTTGATGTGTTTTTGCACTCTTATGCAGTTTGTTTGTGCTGTTTGCATGTAAGCAATGACCCACTCTGTTCAGAATGTTCCTAGTCAGCAAGCAGTTGAACTGCTGGTTTTAGGACTTGGTTTTGTTGAGCAGTGTTGGCTTAGATTGTTTTTGGGAGACCAGCGTCAATTAAAAATGGGGTGAACTGGGGAATTGGCTTTGCAATCGGTGACACCGACACTAAAAATTGCTTCTTAAAATGCCTTATTTTCCAGATTAATGAGGAAAACGTCACTTTTGTTACCTTCAAGATAGATGACTCTATCAAATGGAGGCTCATGTATTCAATAATTTCTTTTTGAGGTGAGATTTTACTTTTCAAGTAACAAGGGCCATCAAATTAACAATCAGTGCGAGAGACTGACATTTTTTAGTAGCCCGGTTTTCAAAAAACCAGGTATAAATAATTTCATGATGATAGTGATGATGATGATGATGATGATGAGGGGAGCTACGAAATGAATCATCTGGTGCATTTCGTCACACTCACATTTGAATCTGGGGTTTTATTCTTGTGTTTATGTTTATGAATAACTCACACGTTTAAACTAAACTTTTTCAGTAGGCTTATAGAGCTGGGAATGTTGTTCAACCCCTTGCCTTTCTTCTTTTAATTCTGGGTTTGGGAGGAGATTAAAATGAACACCGAGATGTGAGCGCCAGGATGGCATGTTTTGATTCGTCCACAAAATACAATATTAAAAACGGACACAAAAGTCATCTTTGGTATTTTATTTCAAACTAGTTTTAAATAGTTATGCTTTTTGTTCTGATCATGAACGTCAACGTTTTCCTTGCCTTGCTGTCTATAGAGTAGCTACTTTGAAGGTTTCTATATACTCACCATCTTCATCACTTGATTGTCCCGCAGGAGTCCCAGTTGATGCCACCAACTCGTCAAGCTTTTTTGTCAGGTCTTTTACGTCGGTACCAATTTCTTTTACGTCGGTGCCAATTTCTTTTACGTCGGTACCAATTTCTTTTACGTCGGTACCAATTTCTTTCAATTCATCTTTTATGTTGTCTTCATCATTTTTCCACTGATGAAGGAGTTCTCTGTAATGGTGCTCCATATCAGGATCCATGCAGCAAAATTCCAGGTTGTCAATAGCGACCTTGAAATGGACAAGGTAACAGATAAATCACTGCTGCATTAGTGTGCAGTGTGCTATTGTATTTAATAGCTCTACTTTACCTGGTAGGTAGCTCCTCCCAGTCGCACTAGAGTGTCCCGAATTTCTTTCCAGTGTTTGTTGAATGTTGCATCATCAACAGAAGCGTGTTCGGCGTGAGCGAACACGCTATTCCTGAAGTATTTGATTCGTGCAATGTCGGCTTCACGGCTGACGTCTGTGACCGCAGGCTGGGCGTCCCATCCTGTCAGTGGTGGAGCCAGACCACATATGGTTCTTAAGAGGATCATGAGTAAAGTGATGTCGAAATCTCTTGAAGACACCGAAGCAGAGACTGCAGGGAAAAGCTTTCCCCATTGGGTGGCATTGATAATCCTCCGTGATCTCAAAGATTGCAATGTGGCTTGACTGGCTGTCAAGACCGTGTGAAGAGTCGGTGGTGAGCAGATGGTATCAAAACAATCCCTGAGGGCACAAGTACCCACATCGACAATAACACGGCATAGCCTAGCATAGTTAGTTGTTTCTTTTGTAGACGAAGATGCAGGTGTCACAGAAGCCATAGACACAAACGACTCTTTATAGTTTCTAGTAAACACAAAGATAATATGTTGTTATATTTCTTCTTTGAGATTTTTCACTTGTTTTTCCCGTATATGTCCCTCCATAGCTAGCCTCCCCGCAGACGTCCTTTGGGGTTCGTTTGTCACACATTATGCGTGACAAACGAACCCCAAAGGACGTCTGCGGGGAGGCTACTCCATAGCAAGACCATGGGAATTATCATGACAAATTGTCACAGGATCCTGCGTACAGCGAGTGCGCGTTCAGTAGACGTAAGGGAGTGTTTTATTTTGTCTCGAATTTTTGAAACTAGAGGAAGATAAAAACCGGTTTTTTACTTAAAGTATCAATTGTGTGTGTATTAATTAACGGCCTTTCAGAAAAAGACTTAAACTTCCGTACATCTTGGATTACATTATTTTGTCACGAAAATCACAGGTAACATTTAGGGTGCGTTTCTTTACTAAAATCCAAATATGGATTTTAATACGACAACGAATATTTCATTTCTTTACCAAAATCTGAAAACAGATAATACTGATCCAAATGATCCACAGCAAAGGTGGATTCTTTGGATCACATCCAGAACCAGATACTTTGGACACATGATCCGAGGCGTTTCTTTACTACGGATCCGAAGTCAATGAATCGCTGCCAGCGATAAAACAAAACAAATTTAATACATACAACAGCTGTTTGACTACACTGCTTATGTTTACAGCCTTTTTAACGATCGATTTTATCCGCCCTTTTTTTTTATTGGAGTTGGAAAATCGCAATACAAACAGGACCTGCACTGTTCTAGTTCACAGGGACAAAACTGTTACACAACTTCGCTCGCAGGCTTTACTTTCCAGTACATTTCTTATTGCAAGATTCGTCTTCATTTGGCCCGTCTAAAGCAGTCGGTATCTTTGATAAAAGCGTAGCAAACTTGCAACATTTGGCTGTCCAGACGGATAATCCGTCTATGGCCGTTTTTCCGTGGGATGCCTGTGGCACTCCACGGTAAAAATCCGGTTCGGTTGTACCCAAAATTGCACAGCCAGCCAATAGGATTGCCTAAAATCTTTATCGATTATCTCTTCTTCCAAGCCGACCAATCAGATTGTACAAAATCTGCATCGATTTTTAATCGATTTGCTTCCTCTCAAGAACGTTGAAATCAGAACGTTCCTTGCCAAATTTGTCGCGCTTGAGTTTTCCCACTCGTGGTTTACGATGGCTTGTTAACCAGCGAAATCCTTCGGGATACTGGCAAGTCACGAAAGGCGACCTAAGCCTTATTTTTTTTTCTTCATGATTCTATTTTGTTTAGGTCTAGCTTTTTCATAAGGTTTTAGTAGCGTCTGGTTGCGGGCCGTGATTTCCGATAGATTTTTCTATTCGGAGTTCGCCAGTTTTTGCCGAGCACATCTAGAGTTCAGTTATTTTCTTTTCTTATCGAAAACACCTTGACGATGGGAGGATAAATCGCGCAAATTTCAACTCGTACCCTTGACGATTGGCGGTGAAATCGCGAAAATATTGTCCTCGTCGATCGACGACTCGCTTTCGGCATAGATTGGACTTCTGGATGGGACACGGATCAGGACATTAGTAAACTTAATATACCTTGGAATCAGGGATAATCATTGGAACTATGTTAACTTTGAGACACATTGCAATTAATTTTTAACCGTATCAAGAGTATCTTGGAATATTAAACTTTCATCTTGGATTAAAACATTGGAACTTTATCGAACTTTGTAACCCTGGGTTCGACCCTGGATAAAGCAAGCGGATGTTTTGTTTTGTTTTGTTCCATTAACCTAAAACTACAATGTTTATTTCTCTTTGAAAAAGTTACCTGTGGCTACTTACTACCAAGATATGACGTATCTTTATACATATAGTTCCTGTTCAGGTTAATCAGAGAGCATTATGCGCATGTTCTCTATTACTTGTTGCCGTTAACATTCCATTTAAGTTACACGGGTAAACCTTGTCTTGATGCAAAATGACTTCTTTTTCTTATCCAAATCGTGCTATGAAAATGGCCGTTTTTATACTAAGGACGCATTATCCGACTGGACGAACTTGCGTCTTTTCATTTTTTGGCACTTGTTTCATTTCTCGCGCGGCCAAAACCGAGAATCCCGTTCCTCGGTCTTTCTTTGCTCCGAAACCAAACGGAAACGCTTGCTACGCAGGCTAGTTGATGTCTTGCAGAGTTAACTTTTACGTAGTACGATCAGCATTGCAGTATTCTGCTTGCAGAATTTAATATGTCCCCTAAAAACACATGAGGGGAGGTTGTGATTTATTGGAAGATACGCGGTTATCGAGCGGTACGTTCGAAAGCGGAAAGGCTAAGGGAATTTGCGACACAGGGCGCAGAGGAGTTATTTGTCACCTTGATTGCAGTTAAATTTTACCGGTCATAGTGCGATTCGCTTTTGAATCGAATATGAACTGGACCTATCAAACTGTCATGCGATCGTTTTACAAACCTGGTAAAATATTATCTAATGCTCGGTGGCAACGAACGTCTCGTAGTTGGAAAGCAAAGCTTTCCGAGCGACGCACAAAGTGCCTAGAAGAAAAAGAGACAAGGGATGAAACACGTGACTCGTTCAATGTGGACCGCAGCTTTCTGGTGACTAGTCCAGTTGTGGCCCCCCTCTCTATGTCCCGGCGCTGGATGACATGGAGAGAAGGACCAGAACTGGACTAACTGGTGACTGAAACCGGAACAGAGAGGGGGTGGATCATGAGGTTTTGAGCCTTGTGCAAGGGGTGGGTCGTGCAATTTTCAGCTACCCTTAGGGGGTGGGTCACCCTATTTTATTACATAGATAGGCACTAACTGCTAGCGAGACAGTTAACTACACTTGTTATATAAAACGCAGCCAGTTAGAATTATTGCTAAAATACTTACAAACCTGTTGTGCGAGAAAATACAAAGGATGACAGGCCGCACATCTATACGGGCATGGAACCCTCTGTTAACCTTTTTTTTGGCTCTAACGAGCATGTCCCTTAAGGTGGCTCGATACAGTTTTCCAGGGCCAATACCTCCCAAGTTTGAGCATAAACTACGTCGCCATAAACAAAGTTTTGAAATAATTGGCACCACAGTTGTACTAGATAAAGATGAAAATTTGTTGTGATCAGGGTTGCAACGACATCGGAATTGTCATAGCAACGAAATGACGCTATTACTTATTTTACTTACAGCAGTATATATCGGCACTGGGAACTGTTCTTCCAAAATCATTCACGGAAGCTTTTTCCTCCAATAGCTACCTCGATGTTCGTGAAGTTTGAGAGAAATCTGTAAGAGCGTTATCGAGATATTTTGGGACGCAGTCTCAGTGTCAAATGTTTCGGTCGTGAATTCAATAGTTAGGTAATGCAAGTTTGCTTGTTCAATGAAGGCTTCGATGTCTGGTTTACTCATGTCCCATAGGGAAAAGATATTGTGTATGTAGCATTTCCAAACTGTTGTTCTAAAGACAGTTTTGCTTAGAGTTGTTGTTTCAATATATGTCATGAAAATATTGGCAAAGGAATCAAAACTGCTGACTTTGTGCCCATTGCAGTTCCATGGTTTTGTAGGTAGTGCTTTTCTTTGAAGTCGAAGAAATTTTCTTTGAGGATTAATCTAAGCATTTCCGGGAAGTAATGTGTAGGAGTGGGTTATCTTGTTGAAACTTTCATATGCTTTGTGACAGACGATTTCAATATACCCTCGTTTTGCTGTATACTTGTGTCAAGTCTCATAACCTGATAACGTCCATCCAAACAAGAAATGTTCGGTTTTTCACATTCCTCTTTTCAGTTTAAGGTATGATTTCTGTGATTTTGATATTGGTTGTAGCAGTGTATCAACAAATTTTGTCAAGCACAGAACAAGGATTTATTGGATTATTAAGAGGAAACCAAACATCCATGTTTTAACTAGGGGGTGGGTCATGCAATTTCCAACCTTGCTTTAGGGGTGGGTCAGTCATTTTTGTGCCGAAGGCACACCTGCCCTATACGTTTTGACCAGTCCCTTATTGTTGTCATAGTGATATCGATTTTACTAAAAACTGCAATTTGACAAACTTTAATTCATGGTCAATCACTGGTAAAAATGTTTGTAGCCTGCAGGCGTATTTTGGGTGGGCGAAAGCTGAGGGTCTGGATGAGGGGGTACAAATGTCAGTTGTCAGTTAAAATTTGGGCCATTTGTCAGTTAAATGATTATTTGTATATTTTTGACGCGAAATTTAGTTTTAAAGGTACATATAATGTAAGTAATAATTAAATTCCAAAACTGATGCAATAGTACCTTAATCTTTATCAGTTTTGCTATAGTATTAGCATTTCAAGTGGACCTCCATTTCTCAAGTCTTGTGTTACTCTCCACCACTCGAATGTTTTTGCTGGCCCAGAGTCCAACATTTCCAACCATTATGCCAATCAAAATTTATACCTTCAGAATATATTATTGGGACGTAGATCGAAAGAAAGACCGTATCTGAATCATCTCGGAAAAAACTTGCAATTGCTTTTGTAACGCCCTCACTATCAGCCCTCGTATGCTGGCGCGTTCTCAGAGGAGCGTAAATTTGAGATCATAGGTCATTTTTACACAGATGGTACATGACATGGGTTTTACAGTAAATCATTAACGAAATACTGAGCCTTAAGAGTCTTGCTGTTAAGATTACCCCCAAAAACGCACATTTGATCACATCGTCTGACGAAAAGAGTGGAACAATGCTATTTAAGGCTACTTGTAGCCGAACTAGAAAAAAAAAAAGCGTTTCAAAACTAGCGCCATAACAGGGCTGACCAACTTATTTTTTGAGTTTACTCGTTTATTTAAGATTTAAAACGTTGTAGAAATCGAATTCATTTCAATTCAAGCCAGATGGGGCTAAAATCCGGGGGAGCCGGAGGTAGACGGGCCTATAACTGGGGGAGGGGGTGGCTTTATAAGTGAGGGTCTTGTAAGCGGAGGTTTACA